CCCAGCACCCCGGCATTACGAAAGGCGTTAGCAAAGCCTAAGCCACAGACGTATCATGTTTATACAAAAAGACTCTAGGCAGGTGCATTCCCTGGGTACTCACTACGTCCCCAGACGACTCGTTAGTAGTTTGCTTAAACTGGATGAGTTGGTCCGAAGGGTGCTTATATGCTAGCCAAGCTGTTTTTTTTTTTTTTTTTTTTACGTATCCAGAAACCATGAGTTGTAAACCCTTTGGCTCGGTATTATGGATATCGCAACCCTTCGGCATTGATTCCATTATAGGTACCGTTAATCTGGGAGAAATGTGGCTTTTCTGCGTACCCCCGGGAGTGAACCCGGACCACAAGGAGTTCGTCACCCGGCCGCCGCGAAAGTCAGGTTTAACCAACTTCGCTAGAGAGCCGCCCCCCCCCCCCCCCCCCCCCATAAACCATAACACCACAACGCAACGTGCCCCTTTGAGCGCGAAAGCAGAAGAAAAAGTGACTCCTATTCACTCCCTGTCCCATGTGGGACGCAGCAAATTTGTTGTTATTTTACAGCCCCACCACGACCGCCGCCGGGGCCCTAAATATAACCTACGGGTTAAACGGGTTTTCTGGGACCAGCGCGCGGGTGATTATAATCCGAATTTTGGCTTTTTATGTTAAATGAATGAATTAGTGGGTCAAAGTGTCCGAGCGAGAAGTATATTTGTATAGAGTTCTAATCACGTTAGGTCATGAGTATATATGGCTCTGTGTTGAGAGGTAGACTCTCTCTCTTTCTCTCTCTCTCTCTCTCTCTCTCTCTCTCTCTCTCTATCTATCTATCTATCTATCTATCTCTCTCTTGTAGTATCCCACTAGGACATCACACAAGCGATAAGCACCCGCTGATACAAAGTGCCACCATGTGGATGAGGATAACCCGTGGAGAGGTCCCAGAAACCCCTTTCAGCCGTTGGCCATATTTATGGCCCGGCTATATTCAGGGCCCCCGGCAAAAGCCAGAGTGGGGCTTCAAATAACGAAAAATTGCATCCCACATGGGGACGACTGTAACCAAATATATTAAGAGGCAGGCAAAGTACCTGGCGGTTCATAAAAAAAGCGAATGAACGTCGTTTGTGCGGCAAAGCCTGACATATGATATCACAGTGTCTGAGAATGGAGGTAGAGGCAGTCATTGCGGTCTGCCGCTGAATTGAGAATCAGCTTACAGAAATTGGTAGTTATAAGTGACTCGCAGAGCATTTGGAGAAAGGTGGAGACAGGCATGCTCCGTGCAGAGTGGCAAGCATCACTTCAAACGTCCCGGGTAGTTAGCATCCTTTGGATATTTTATCTTGGTCTTACCGGTGTGTTGGAAAATGAGCAGGCCAGTGGTCACAACATGTTCTATTTTCCCTCTTCTCATAATATGGCCGAAAAATGATAACTGTCTTCTTCTGATGTCTGTGATAAGTTGTCTTCGGGCATAACGTAAATTGTTTATATTGTGCCCACCAACTACAATTCGGGGCATACCAATTAAAGATCTCATTATATATTCACTGTATATTGAAAACAAATCAGGTGATAGTACGTATTCTTGTCGTACGCCCCTCTTTGTCGGTTCTTTAATCAAATGAAACTCTCAATGCGGGACTAACAAAAGGGAGGTAAGCGTTTCCCCATAGCAACACCAGTCAACACACATTGTAGGTGGCCGCGTAAGAGCAAACAATAGGAGTTCAGCTCGTAGTAGAGTTTGGACTGGCCTGTCGCATTTTGAGCAAGTATTTATTATTTCCTATTTTAATTTAAGTGAATTTGGTGTGTGAGACATTACTTCTCCATGTTTAAGAGCAAGCTATCCGTGTTTCAATATTTAAGTTAAGCCACAATAATCACGGGATTGGATCTGATTTTTTTTTAATTCTAACATGTTTCCAAATGTAATAAATAACTCAGCAATGCTGAACCTTTTCGACGTTAATTTTAGTCATTGTCAGTAAATTTTAGATTGTCGAAATTTACAAAAGTAACAGTGATCAATAATAAATTTTATTGGTTTTCTGTTATAAGATTCTGACACATTTTTACTCATGCAGCCTTTGCAAATATGTACATTATCGTATTTTTCCCTCCACCCCTTTCCATCTCAGACAGGCGCAAATGAAATTCTGTGACTTTCCAATGATTAAACCACTTAACCAGTCCACATCTAAGGAACAGATATGCTAACCTTCAGATCTACTGCTTTTCTATTAGTCACAAAGGGTTACTTTTATTATATTATGCTATTCAGCTTGACAAAGTCGGCGATATTTTCTTGGCTATTCTATGTGTAGGAACACAGGCAAATTTGTGGTCTCCATACATATAAGATCTTAGGAACGGATATACACACAACACTCGGGTTCTGGGAAAAGGATAAAGTCCGGAGGTGGACGAACACCCAGAACCTTCCGCCAGAGTTAACAGCCAGTGAAAACAAAGAAGAAGATCTTGGCTATGATATGCATCGTTTGCAAGGGTTTCATAAGTCCAGACATTAACCTGTGATCGGAAGTTTAATCAGAATGCTACTGGCACCATTAGTATCGGAACTCTTCGCTGGCTGCTGAAGATGGGGGACGGAATGCTTATGGGAATGCCCCGAGGGCTGTGATGTCGGTTCTTGAATCAAATTAAATCAACCTGTAATGTAGTAACAACAATCAAAAGCTTATGGAGCATCCTGCTTTTCTGCCCAGAGCCCTGGGTATTAATTTTTTCCCCCAGACAGTTTTCACATTTTATTTTGTTCATAAACAGTGTCATGTTTCTGAAAATGAAAAACACTGGCTGGATTGACTCTTCAGTATCAAGCAACTGCTGATACTCTTGATACTTTTGTTGGTGTCCACATACATTATATAGTTTTTTGATCACCTTGCACACAACTAGTTATTACCCTAACTGATCCCTTCCCAATTGTTACTTAACTCTTCTTGTCCTGTAGTGATATTGTTTTGACATCAACAGACCAAACATTTTTTTTAGTTACAGTAACAACCTTTTAGGAAAAAAGAGTTAAGGTAAAACCTGAATTGGACTGAAAGCGTTAAATATAGCAGTAGCTTAGAAAGATCAGTAACAAAAGGTGCTGTTTCTGGGAAAAGATACCTTGGCTGCCTGGGCAGTATATCCTAAATGGGTTCCAGGTGGTTCTGGAAAGTAAATATGGCCCACATGATGTTGTCCACATGATGTTGTCCACATGATGTTGCTCACATGATGTTGTCCACATGATGTTGTCCACATGATGTTGCCCATATGATGTTGTCCACATGATGTTGCCCACATGATGTTGTCCACATGATGTTGTCCACATGATGTTGCTCACATGATGTTGTCCACATGATGTTGCTCACATGATGTTGTCCACATGATGTTGTCCACATGATGTTGCTCATATGATGTTGTCCACATGATGTTGCTCACATGATGTTGTCCACATGATGTTGCCCATATGATGTTGTCCACATGCCTTCCATGTGATGTTGCCCACATGATGTTGTCCACATGATGTTGTCCACATCACTTATCAAGGGCTGATTGGTCTTTAAAAATATGAGTCTAGAATTATATGTATCATTGGAGGGAAAAGGGTCAAATGGGGGAAAAAGTGGAATGGGGAAAAGGGTTGAATGGGGAAAATGGTCAAATGGCATGGATTTGGACATAGGATATTAGAATTACAATAGACATGACAAACCTCCCCATGTGTGTTTCTTGGCTCTGTTTTCCAGGAAGAAAAAACTTGATCCACTGCCTCCCTAACAAGCAAGTCCTAGGAGTTGACTAATCAGGGGTGTTTTCTTGAAAGTCAGAGTGCATCTGGCTGAGAGGCAAAGAACCAACATCTAATTAAAAAAAGCTATATCTGTTAAATGGATGCGCATGCAAAATTCAGTTTCTGGATCAAGACCAGAGTCCAGTAGTGGATGAACAACCAGAACTTTCAATCAGAGTTTTGAAACAGTGAAAGCTAAAGAAGAAGAGGGAGAAGGACATGAACGTTCATGGCAAAGGGAAATTAGCAAATAAACATGAGGCTTTCCAAATTGATTCAATTGAGTTAAAGGGTACTTTCAAAAGGTAATGCTCCTTATGGGGATTTCAAGGTTCTGTTGGGGGTGGAACATCAAGGAAGATTGGCTAATAAACAGCATCCTTTCTCGGAAGCTGAAATATTTTGGTCATATCAAGCGCCACAACGGATTGGAAAAAACTATAGCAGAAGGCATGGTACTAGGAAGGAGGGGCAGGGGCCGACCGACACGAAGATGGGCACAGGATATAAGTGACTCCTTGAGTATGAAAGTACATGAGGCAGGAGAACTGGCGAGAGACCGAGTTTCTTTCAGGCAGACTGTGATGAGAGCGACATTCTGCAAAGGACCTGCTACATGATGATGATGATGTTGAGGGTGGATGCAGAAGAAGAGAAAGAAAAGGTAATTGTGAGCAAGAAGCAAGTGTTAGTTAGTCTTTCCTCTTGTGTCGAGTGCGGCACATAGGGCAGAGGTCGCGACTCTCCATGCACGGCGGTCCGTTGCAATCCGTTGTAGGTCTTGGATGTTTGAGTGGCCCATGAGCGAGCCTTCCCTGATGATAGTTCTACGTAGGGTTTCCCTTGGTCTTCCATGAGATCTTTTCCCCTGTGGTGTAGGTTAGAAGTGTAGGTTAGAATAAAATTTATTCTCTTGTATAGTCCTATTAATCATCCCCTTGTGGGATGCAATTTTTCGTTATTTTGAAGCCCCACTCTAGCTCTTGCCAGGGGCCACAATATAGCCTGGCCATAAATATGGTCTAATGGCTGAATGCGGTTTCTGGGACCTCTCCCCGGTGATCCTCATCCACATGGTGGCACTTTATGTCATCAGATGTTTATCACTTGTGTGATGTCCTAGTGGGGTAAAATGTACTAGTACTACTAATAATTCTCTTGTATTTTCTCTTTACAAAACACAGCTGAATCTCAAAATGTCGATTGCCATTGTTCAAGCTAGGCACATCTTTGGCCTCAAGTCTGGGGTCTCTGGGAATGTCTGCTTCCATGATGAGCAGACTATTGTGTACCCAGCTGGCTCCAACTGCATTATCTACAATATTGATCAGAAGTCACAAAGATTCATTCCAAGTAAGAAATTATCTTCTCCTTGCACCCTTTATCTCTCAGGTAAACAAGTAATTGCAGTTCCAACTCCTTAGCAAACGGGTCAAGAAGAAGAAGAAAGGAAGGAACTTGTTAAATAATAACTGAGTACGGTTCATGTTAGATAGACTACCTTATCCCATAAAAAACTTTAGTCGCCAAATCCAGCCAAATATAACTGTTGAGTTGAGTTGAGTCAAGAATTGACATCACAGCACTCGGGGCATTCCCATGCATGCTCTGTCCTCATCTTCAGCAGCCAGCGCAGAGTTCCAATATTGATGATACTGGTCACAATCTGATTATATGTCCGTCTTGCCTTTCCTCTCAGTGTAGTGAGCCTGCCAGACCCTCTGGTTACACCCAGGTGTCTCATTCTCTCCAGGCCATAATAATCTTGTTTCTCTACTGATTCCGTTGCTTGTTATTTTAATATAACTATTGTTTACACCTTTCTGTCTTTCTAGACCATATTGTTATACTGTTCTTTGGGGAGACAAAGGAATCACTACCCATGGTTCCCTGCGTGGGTTTTGGGGCTCCATTGTAAGGAAAACAAGAACAGACCCACTGTCTTCCCAGCAAGGATTTCGTAGGAGTTGACTAATTGGGGACTTCCTTCAAAGTCAGAGTGCATCTGCCCAAGCAGCAAGGAACAACTAACTGCACACGAATAAGCCAGTAAAACAGATGTACACGCAAAACTTAGGCCCTGGCACAAAGCCGAAGTCCAACTGGACGAACAGCCAGGACTTTCTGCCAGAGTTTACAGCCGGTGAACAAAGAAGAGGACGAAGAAGAAGAAGAAGTAGAAGACTGCCTATGGTGGCGGCCAAGTGACTAGTAAGAAAAAGCTTCCACAATAAATACATGCATTTTCAGGACCATTGTTGCCATCACATGTATTTGAGATGTTTCAGCTTAGTTTTTTACTAGCCTTCAATTCTTTTTTTCCTTTGTACTCTATTCCCTGCCTATTATTCCCATTCCATACAGAAACATCAACATGAACACAAGTCTATAAAAGTCATATTGTTGGCTGGCTGTTTGCCTACTTATTGATTGAGGGGCCTAGGCCCCACTGTGTTGAAAGGCAGAAAAGCAAGGAGGAATACTGTGGTGTGTTTTTTTTTAACAATCGTGAGGGCTCCGTATCAGTGTTTTTCTGGGATCTGTAGAACAAATTAAGTGACTGGTATCATTTACACATAGACACACAAGAAATGTATAATCCAATCTTTTGTCCAATTCTAATGTATAAAAAATTATAAGTTATTCAGTATGATTATTAGAAGGTACAAGGTTTATTAAAAAGAACTTGGGGGCGATGGAGATGTGGTTCCTCAGACAAATGTTAAGATACAGCTTTAAGTAAAAGACTAGCACTGTTCTTTGATCATGTGTGGGGGGGTGGGGGTGGGGAGAGGGGCTTTGGAGAATATTGTGATGACTGGGAAGATAAGCGGTAGAAGAGGGAGAGGCAGACCAAGAGAGACGCTGATGGATGGATTGCAATGGTGGCATGGAAGGCAATCATTGGTGGAACTGATCCAGAGGACAAGGGGGGATTCATGAACACCTACGCCAGTTGGCAGGGTACATGATGATGATTGGTGGTGATTATGATGATGATGATGATGATGGGGCTAGGGACAGACCTTTAAAAATAAGAAGGATTAGCAGGTCTTAGCTGAGAGGAAACCATTGCTCTACATTAAAGACTTCACTGACTTTTGCAGGCACTGATAAAAGTGAAGGAATGACAGCTCTTGCGGTCAGTCCAAACCGAAGATATGTTGCCATTGCTGAGAAAGGGGAGAAACCAACAGTCACAATTTATGATCTTCATTCACTGCGTAAGAAAAAGGCCCTCAGCAGTAATGAAATGTCTTCAGGAGAATACGTTAGTGTGGCTTTCTCTCCGGACTCCAAATATCTAGTAACACAGGGAGGGAAGCCTGACTGGACACTGCTGTACTGGACATGGGAGAAATCTAAAGTCATGGCTTCAGTCAAATCTTCTAATCCTCAAAATCCAAATTCTGAAGTTTATCAGGTAAGGGAAATGAAATTTTTCTTTAGAAACAGAATTATTAACTCATTTTTAAAAAAAAAGCATTTGGTTTTTCATTTCTTGTTTTCTGTTTATAATCCTTAAAGAGGATTGAGGCAGTTTTTTGTATGCCGATGTTTCTAAGAGTTTTATTATAGGACAGATTCTGTTATTTATAGCATCTAGCAGAATGATTAACTCTTTAAGTTTCAAATAACACGCTGTGCAAATAAACCACGCAAAGTGCGATCTGGTATGATGAATACTACTGAAATCTGCTCTTTTTTTTTTTTAACATGCAACATTATCTATGTTTCCTGCAAGGTGTGTAAGTCTCTGTTCAATTTACGCACTCGTGTTCTATTCATTGTGGCTGTCATTTACAGTGGATATCTTCTGTGGAACCTTGAGGGACTGAAAGAGTTAAGAATGCTTGGATGTCATTTAGGAGACCTGAGTTCAAATCTTTAGTAAGGTGATGGGATTTTTTTCCATTGAGGGCACAGTTAAAATCCTTATTTGGACAGTTCTTGGAGATTGCACTAGCCGTGGGACCCTAATTTATATTATACTTTTTGTTTCATTTTACCCTGGATATACATTTAAAATATCCATTTTATTTCTAGACATAATACCAATATTTTCTTCCTCTTCAGCATTCCGAGCTTTTGAATTTTATTGCCACAGATATCACCCACCTCCGTTCAGTGATAGGCCTTCTCTTTCCAGTTGGTGACTTCAAGTGTTTATAAGTCTGCATGCATATTATCTCTCTCCACCATCTTCTCAGTCTGGTTCCTGGTCTTGGCAATCTTGGTAATGTTAGTTTCAGCTTCATAGCAAACAGCCCCCCTCCCCCTTCCGCCATAGCTGCTCCTCTCCTGTGACGATGAAAAACACACAGAAAGTCCATCACTGTCTCTTGTGGGAAGATTGACACAGGCTGCAGTCTCAGCATATCCACTAACATGCACATGCATTAAAAGTATAAGACAGCCTTCAGAAGTGCTAACATGGTTTACAGCCAGCCATTCAACTCTCTTGTGTACAGTTTTTTTTTTTTTGTGTCTTTGTCTGCCATTCACTCTGTATGTCCTAGCCGTTTCAGTCTTATCTAATAATATGATGATAATAATAATAATAATACTGTTATAGTTTTGTCATAAAACTGCCATTACTGCCTGTGTTGACCATTTTTTTTTTGCAATGTAGGCGGGTGGGAGGTTGAATTCAAGCCTGAAAACTTAGGGCAACATAGCTAGTGCTGTTGACACAGATTGTGCAGATTATTGCATTATTTTTTGTCCCCGACAGAAAAATTCCCAGCCTTACAGAGGAATCAAACCTGGGTCTCCCTCTAGAGTGCCTGGAACTTTTAACCATTGGCCAGCCGCTCCTCAAAATTACTATGCTCCTCCTATAATACTAAATTACAATTTAAAATAATTGTTGTGGTGTTTTAATGGTACCTGAATACCTTGTCTTTATTATTCTTTTTTCCTTCTGAAGATTCTTTTTGTTCTTTTTAGCATTCACAGGCTGTAGATTCCAGTTGAAATTTCTGGTTGCTCATCCTCTTCTGCAATTTGGTTTTGTTCAAGAACTTGAGCTTTTTGTGGACATCCGTTTTACAGATCTGGCTTGTTTTTATTTTATGCTGTTTCCTCACCTCTCAGGAAAGATGTATTCCGACTTTGAGGGAAACACACCTAATTAGTCATCTTCTACGGCACGCTTGTGGGGGGGGGGGGGAGCAGTGATTGCACAGGGTAGAATATAATAGAGGAATAGACTGTGAGCCCTGTTTGACACAACTGGATAATGAAAGAATGAACGAATTCATTAAATTTGATGATGAATTGGGTCGAAAGGTGCGGATGACACAACCTAGTTATAAACAACAAAATAACATCCTACTGTCCTTTTAAAGATGAACACACACAAAATAAGAAGATGATCAAGAAAAATAAGAACCTGTGAAAATCGGTCTTGTGCTTTGATGGCTCCCAATACAAGACAATAGATAATAAATATCCTAGCAGAGCAAAGGTCATAAGTCCAAATGCATAGGGGAGATTTTAAAACTGACCCCAGCTTCTAGATCAATCCAGTTAAAATCATCATCATCAAGTGGTGTGCCAGCTGGTGTAGGTGTTCGTGCATCTCCACAGATCTCGGTCTTTGTTGTTCTGGATCAATTTACTGATGGTTTTCCTCGATGCCACTGTCTTAAGCCATCCACCATCGTTTCTCTTGGTATGCCTTTGCGTCTTCTACCAGTGATCTTTCCGGTCATCACAATGTTTAGTTAAAAACAGAAATAACATTTGCACTGGAAAGTAAAGACAGCCTGTGCAATGTTGATTTCATCATTCATCGAGTGCCCATTGGTCAAAAACAGTGTTTCTCAACCTTTGACACCCACGGCCCACCAAAACAGTAGAAATTGTTTCACAGCCGAACTGACAGCTAACCAACCATGAAAGAACAACAAATTTAGATAGCAGTTTATTTATTAACTCTTTGAATCCTAGGGGGGTTCCGCATCAGCGGCTCAAGGGATGATAAAAATAACAGAGGTTAAATCAGCACATCTTGTGTTCATTGGGCTTCTAGGTAGGAACCTTTGAATTTATGATGCATTCCTTGAGACTGAAAGAGTTAAATTATAATTGTCATCTAATGCAACATCTGCTGCTGCTGCTCAGAAGTTAGAAAATCTGTGCAGTTAACAGGGTTTGTCTGATCTGAGCATACAAAAGCAAATGTAAAGAAGAAGAAGAAGAAGAAGAGGGTTTCCAGGATATTTGTACCAGTTTTATTTTCATTCTTGATGTGTTAATCTTCCAGACTGCAATCCTGGAAGAGAAAACCTACCTACACTGCCCAGTTTCATGACTGGGCAAAAACAAAAAGAAGAATCCGTGGAGACTGGTTGAAGAATATTGGAAAAAGATTTGTTTTCCAGGATATATTTTGGCCGACCCACTGGTTGATTTTCATTGGTCTTGATTTGCTGTCTGGTAGCATTACCTGAGACCGCAATGGTGGAAGAGAAAAACCTAAAAACATTTGTTTTCTGGCCATATTTAACGGCATGACTGGGCAAAAATTAGTTTAAAACATGGTGGCCTGGTAGCATGACCTAACGGTGACCCACTGGTTGAAGAACATTGGTCTAAAACATTTGTTGTTTGGCACCATATACCTGATGGCCGACCCACTGGTTGAAGAGCATTAGTCTAAAACATTTGTTTTCTGGTACCATATACCTGATGGCCGACCCACTGGTTGAAGAACATTGGTCTAAAACATTTGTTTTCTGGTAGCATATACCTAACGGCCGACCCACTGGTTGAAAAACTGATGGTTTTAAAACACTGGTAGCATATAAGAGCATTAGTGAAAAAACATTGGTTTAAAACATTTGTTTTCTGGTACCATATACCTGATGGCCAACCCACTGGTTGAAGAGCATTAGTCTAAAACATTTGTTTTCTGGTAGCATATACTTGATGGCTGACCCACTGGTTGAAGAACATTGGTCTAAAACATTTTTTTTCTGGTACCATATACCTGATGGCCGACCCACTGGTTGAAGAAACATTAGTCTAAAACATTTGTTGTCTGGCACCATATACCTGATGGCCCAATGACACGAGAAGGGTCCTTTACTTCTTCTTCTCTAAAACTCCTCGCATATTCCATCTATCCACCGCTTTTGTGGTCAACCTCTAACTCTGCTTCTATTATGTCTAAGTGACAGGGCTCTGGGGCACTTTCTGCTTTTAGTCTTGACACATGTCTGAACCATTTGATCTGTTGTCTTCTGATGTAGTTTAGTAATGGTTCCATCCTAACTTCCTTCCTGATATTTTCATTTCTGATCCTGTCTCTTCTGATTACACTCCGTGTTCACCGTGGACATTTCATTTCTGTTGTTTCAATATTTTAATTTAGTGTTCACATTTGGCACTGGTAACACAATGTTGGTAAAAATACTTCTTTTTCTTCTTCTTTGCGTTCACCAGCTGTAAGTTCTGGCGGAAAGCTCTGGTTGTTCATCCAATTTTGGACTGCAGTCCTGTTCCAGAATCTGAGTGTTGCGTGTGCATCCGTTTTACAGATCTGACTCATTTGTATGCAGACTGCTGATTCCTTGCCTCTCAGGCAGATGCACTCTGACTTCGAAGGAAGCTTCCAATTAGTCGACTCTTATGACATGCTTTTGGGTAGGCAGTGGGTTTAATTTGTTTTTCCCCCATCATAGAGCCCTGGAACCCACACGGAGAGGTAAAAACACTGTATTCAAAAGTGTTCTTTTGGTATTCATTGTTAAATGTTTCTTCTGAAAAAAAATTGGTTCTTTACTTGCTTACTGAATAGCTTATGATTTTCAAAACAGGTCAGCTTCAATCCTCAAGACAACACCCAGCTCTGTGTGTCTGGTAACACAGTTTTCAGGTTCTTCCGCTACAGTGAGGGAAATCTGAAACCTTTCAACTTCCAGAAGGTGGAGCCACAGAACTATCTTTGCCATGCCTGGGTGTCAGATGATCGAATACTTGTTGGTACAGACAATGGTCATTTACTGTTGTTTGAAGCTGGAGAGGTTAAGCAAGAATTTAACCTAGGGCATTCTGGTGAAAGGTTTGTTCCTTCTCATATTAAAGTATTTTTTGTTTGTGTGTTTACTAATTTATTAACATTGTTTTATATTAAAATGTAACTCTTTCAAAGGGGCCGCATTAGGGCAGTTGATAGGAAATCCTGCTGCAACTGGCTGTAGCCCACAGCCGGTGTCGAAACCGGGCTGACCCCGAGGTTCACCCAGCCTCTAGGTAATGAGTACCAGAGCTAACACTCTGGGGTAAATGAAGGAACATCGCTGTAGCTACGGAATTGTGTGCGGATGGCGACACAGGCAGACAGTTTCTTATCAGCTGTCCCTACTGGTGGCAGAGCACTTATGGTTTATAACCGTTTGCAATGACACTGGTTCACATCTCCCGACTTTACCTTTTTAAAATTTTTTTCATTTAACTCTCTCAGGCCTGAGCAACGCTGTGTGTGTTGATTGGAAAGTTTCTATTTAACCAAACCACACTGCACCGATCGTGTGTCCAGGACATATTGATTCGCATACTACTCCATATTCATTTCTAATGTTTGAAACTGCAATTAAAATATTCAGGGAAGGTTACTCTAAAATTTCTACTTTGTTTACAGTCTTTTGTTCATACATTCAGGCGCAAGTGTACCCAGTTCATGGCTAGCATCAGTTTCAGACAGTGAGATTTCTTATTTCGTCTATGACTTGCCTGGATACCACTGTGCTGAACACAAGCACAGGTAAAAAAATATGGAAAAGATAAATTTTTCAGAAAATGATTTGGACGAGGAATTTACCCCAGCGGCAGCTGAGCGGTCAGCTGTTAGAGAATCTATCAGTTCTGATAAACGAACGAATGAAGAGTACCAATGTCTGCTATCAATAATGCTTGTTATAGATATAATAAAGAAATATAAATTATAGAATAATGCATACACACATCATGTGTACACAATTGTACACACTCACACACATGTATACATACTCCTACGTTCTCATACATGCACACTCATATAGACATACATAATACATACACACACGCATCTACATACATACACAAACATAAAACACATGCACATACATAGACATAAATGCACAAACAGAAAACACACACACATACATTTATGGATATACATGCACACACACATTCCATACATACACACCTGATGAGGTAAACCCAGGAGGACTCATTTCATTTGCGAAGGATGTGGTACTCACCCACATTTGCATCCAGAGGACTGTTTCAGACAGTATAATACTGTGGCTAAGCTACATTGAAAAATCACTGCAGCTACAGTCTGTATATAACTATACAAAGTTATTATTTTGTGTGTATTTGTCTGCCATTTTTTCTTTGAAAATTTGTTTAGCACTCTGTGAGAATCTAGAGCATTTGAGTTATAAATGAATCCAGAAACTTATCATAACTTTTAAATTTGTTAGGAAATTGAACAAACTTTAAAGTGTTATTCTCAAATTTGGATATTTATTGCTCTTGTGACTGCAAAACCACGGTAAATTGGGAATTTTTAAAAAATAAAATTTCATCTCTGTCAACATAACAGCTGCTGAATTCTTTTTTTTTTCCTACTAACTACAATAGGATTAAACAAAAACATATCATAAGATTCAAAATGTACATTCATACCTCTTTAAAAAAAATTTAAAAAATATACTTTTTTAAGGATTAGAATTCTATTAAATTCTTATTTGCCTTTTTTTTTTTAACACCTATCCCTCTACCATTATTATAAAAGGAAATTATTGCTAGCCAAGTTTGTCAAAATTGAAGGCCCTGAAAGGGTCAAGGCAAGATTTTTCATGTATATGTAAACAGGGATTTTTTTTGTATATAAATTGGGGCTGAACTCAAAGTGTCTACAAAATGTGCCAGTACTCACCACAAACTGTTTATTACAGTCATCATCATCATTAACATCATCATCATCGTCATAAATTTCTACTTCTGCCATTTAGCGTCATGGCGAGGAACAATCTGCGATTCATTGCTTGATGGGCAGCAATGGCTATTGTCATTCCGTGTAGATGTAGAAGCTCTTTAATATCACCAATCCATCATTTCCTAGGGTGATCTCTTGCTTTCACATCAGATCTTTTCATGTGTAGCGCCTGTGTTGGTAGTTGTTCTGGCTGCATTCTTACTAGATGACAAAACCATCTGATTTTTCTGTTTCTCAATAAATTTGCTGCATGGTGTAGTTCCCAGTCTGTCTGATAATATCATTTCTAACTTTGTCTCGGAGGGTAAAGTTGGTGGCTTTTCTCAAACATCTTATTTCACAGGTGTTAATTTTACATAGGTTAGTCTTTGATGATGTCCAAGTTTGGCACTGGTAGCACAGTGTTAATATGAATATGCTTTTTATAATCTGTTTCTTGATGCTTATACTTATGTTTGGATGTCTTAATAATGATGTCAGCTGGGATATAAATGCACTATCTCGTTGGCATCTTGTTTCTCTTTCATGATCTGTTCTCCCGTCCTCCAAGAATATACATCCTAGATAGTTAAATTCTTCAATTTGCTTCAGACAAGTACAATACAACCCTATACATAGCAGACAATTCAACCCTATACATAGCAGACAATTCAACCCTATACATAGCAGACAATTCAACCCTATACATAGCAGACAATTCAACCCTATACATAGCAGACAATTCAACCCTATACATAGCAGACAATTCAACCCTCTACATAGCAGACAATTCAACCCTATACATAGCAGACAATTCAACCCTATACATAGCAGACAATTCAACCCTATACATAGCAGACAATACAACCCTATACATAGCAGACAATTCAACCCTATACATAGCAGACAATTCAACCCTATACATAGCAGACAATTCAACCCTATACATAGCAGACTAGGAATTCTACTGACTTGCATTACTACAGTCTTTATTACAGCACCACTGAATAAAATGATGCCTTAAAAGACAAAGTGATGGTACTGTGTACCGTTAGGTATCGATAAAGACCTAATTGTAAGAATAAGGGCTTTAACAATTATTATTAAACTACAACATTAAAAGCCTGTGGTTAAGCACCAGCAAGGAAATCGAATTCAAAATTTTGAGGGCATGCATCTTCCCTGTAGCAACATACGGATGTGAGTCGTGGACTATCTCGCAGTTCAAAAGGAAGAAAATAGGGGCTTTTGAGCTGGCATGCTATAGAAAGAGTCTTAGAATACTGTGGACCAAGAGGAAAAGAAATACTGACTGCCTAAAAGATCTGAACATCAATGAAGATTGGCTAGTAAACAGACTAGCTAGGAAACTGAAATATTTTGACCAATTTAAGCACCGCGGCGGATTTGACAGAATAGTAGCAGAAGGCATGATACCAGGAAAAATGAGTAGGGGTCGACCAGCATGAAGATGGGCATAGGATATAAATGACACCTTGGGTAAGAAGGTAAGAATGTACATGGGGCAGGAGAGCTGGCAAGAGACAGAGTTTCTTTCAGGCAGACTGTGATGAGAGCGACAAAAGACCTGCTACATGATGATGACTAAACTGCCAACACTCCTTAAACGCTTTCCTTAACGTTGTGTTGTGATTTACAGCTAGGGTGCCATATCTGGGTCTTGCAGCCCACACATCCGATTTTAGCAAAATCCTGATTAGTTCCCCTTTAAAACATGCTTATGAAAGGGCAGTGGGTCTCTTCCTGCCCCCCCCCCCCCCCCCCCCCAACCCACAGATTGGGCCTCCGAACCCACACAGGAATTCACTATCTTTAATTTCTCTTACTTCATTTTTACCCGCAATAAGTAATATCATTTGTATACTTTGTCTTCTTGTGTCATCACACTGATACTAGGTTATAACCCAGTGTCATGATTTTCTGTATTTGTCTTGTGCTTCTCTGGTGGCTTCAGTGATGGATTTGTTCAACTTTTTGCAGGTTTCATCTACATAATTTATCTATCTCTTTCTTGGTCTTCCTCTCACCTTCCTCCTAGATGTTCTACTGTAAAAAGTCTCACGGGCAGTCTGGTCTGGCTGCATTCTCACTAGATGGCCGAACCATTTCATTCTTTGTCTATCAATATAATCCAGACATGGTCTTATTCCAACTTTCTCTCTAATACTGGTATTCGTAACCCTATCTCATCTAATATTGTTAGTGACCTTGCGGAGACGGCGCGTTTAACATGTAGTTATTTTCTGTTCTAGTGCCCTGTTCATTTGTATACAATTTCCCTTTATCATCATTTAGATCAACAATTGATGGCGAGCTTGATCTGCAAGTAACTGCCCTGGTGACCTTCTCCAAAGGATTTGCTTGTGCTTTTGGGATGGGTACGGTCTACATGTATGAGAAAACTGAAGACAAAGATACGTATAGGAAAACTAGAGAAATCAAGGTGAGATGCATTTTTGATAACTGGATGAAGATGTTCTGCTTCTTCTTTGCACTCACGGGCTATAAGCTTCCTGCAGCAAGTCATGGTTGTTCATCCACTTCTGGTCTTCAGTCTTGTACCAGGAGCTGAGTTTGCATGCAAACCTGTTTTACAGATCTGGTATTATTTGTGTAAAGACTTTTGGTTCCTCATCTCTCAGGCAGAAGCACCCAGACTTTGAAGGAAACTAGATGCTATCTACACAAGTCAGGCTCCCCGTTGAGAACCTGAGCATGGAGAGTTGTAGGCAGCTCTTGACCAGTGTGAGCCCTGATCCTGGTTCACAAAGACATGTGGTTTCGGTAGCTCTGCACACCCTGAAGAAGCTGTTGAGTAGATAAGATTTACTTTTTTTTTTTTAGAGTTTATATGGAAGCTGCTGTGACTTGGTGGCTAGACACTTGCACGCCATTGTGAAGGTCTCAGGTTCAAATCTCCATCATGTCAGAATTTTTGTTTACAGAACTGACCTTAGCTCCCAGATAGACCCAGTCTAAAATGATATGAAAAGATATCAAATCAAATGACGTGTCAGTTACACATTATCACAAACACAAAGTGAGTGATGCCGTTAGAGAGTCTAAAATATATAAAGGAGGTAATCAATAAGATATATTTAATATGATTGCGATGAACCTGTTGACTGATGAATTTAGAATCCACATCACAGCACTGTGGAAATTTCTATAAACCTCGATCCCTATCTTCAGTAATTCCGGTGCTTTAATAATATCCTACTCCAAACATGGGAAATCCACAGGTCACGAGACAGTCTAATATTTCAGGGGGTGGTAGATAAGCTGCATGCAGTCGTGATATTTTCTAGATATTTTCGGGTCGTTAAAAGCATCAGAAAGTCGGGAAACCAGTCTTACCAACCTATAAAATATTGGACTGTCCTGTGACGTAATCTGGGGTAGGATATTAATAAAGAACCGCAATTACCATTCCACAGGCACCAGTAACAGTCTGACTGTATATCTGTCTCACCTTTCTCTGTAGTTTTGAGCATCTGCCAGTCCCCTGGTCATTTCTTGCAGCACCCTTCTCCTGAGACCTTGATGTTCTATGTGTGCCTCTGCACTGTTTACTTGCTTCCAAAGAACCCTTACAACATCTAGCTTGTCATGCATCAATTCACCACCAAGTGGTGCAGAACTAGCCAGTCTATCTGCCTGTTTATTTCCCAACACATCCGCATTTCCTGGAGAAAATATCTAAAGACGCTTACCACCTGGGACCTCTGAAATGGATGCTAGCAACCCGGGTCTCTTGTCTTTTTCAACATGTGCTGTGAGTCAGTTACAATTACAAAATATATGCACAGCTGGCTTTCAAGCCAGTGGATAGGCCATGGTGACTGCCTCCACTTCCATTTTCAGACTAGAACCTGTTAAATTTTGGCAGTTTAATTAACAATAACCATAAATTATGGCCGGTGGTCATGAAACAGACACAATGTTTTGGAAGAAACTATTCGTATTTCAGTTGAATTTATCCATTTTTGTGCTTTATTTTATGTTGATGTATTTCTGTAGTAACCCACCTGATGAGATACTGCGAAATAAGCCTGGCAATAAATTGTTTGTATCTGCATTATTTAAATTCATTACGGGGAAACATTGTTTTGAATAACCAGAAAAGCTTATCAAGTCAACAAAGCCTGAAGCTGTCAAATATATCTGGCCAGAAGATACAAATATCTTGGCTACTGAGGCACTTGTAGGGGAATGCTCCAAGTAAAGTGATGGGGAATATTGAGCTTTTAAAAAAAAATTTTTTAAACTTACACTTACTTTTTTTTTTTTTGTGTTTGTTATTGCAGATTCCTCCAGATCCCTGGAATAGTCAGGATCCCTATCTTGCCCAGAAGCAGATTTTTAGATGTTTGGCTGTAAGTCCTTCTGAAGAGACAATGGTGGGCAGCACCGATCAAGGTCAGCTGTATTACCTGACTCTGTCTGGAGCTGAACTTGGCAAGGTGTGGTGAATTTTTAACATGATTTCTCTTATTAGAATACAGAATCATTCAGAGAAGCACAATAGTGGAAGATAAAGCCTTGTCTTAGATTGACTAAATTCAACCTGAAAATGTAATTTTATGGCAAGATGGCGATGTAAACAGTGTGTGTTATTCAACAGATGTAGAATTTTTTCAGTGTTCTCGATGTGATTTATGTGTAACTCAGTGTTCTTTTAAGGATGAAACTGCAGCAGGTCCAGCAAATCAGCAGTAGATTTAAAAGTTCACAAAAAACTGCTCTAGAAACTGTGTATGACATTAGGAAATCCATCATGGATTGAAGGAGTCACAGATACCTTGAAACTGCATAACATCACGGCATATCAAGCGACTGAGCGCACCCTGGCTAGGCTGCCGATCGTCTGCTGAACTGCAACGCCTAGCGGCATAAGCAGATATTGACCAAAGAAAAGTAAGATGCCGGGCCGATCAGGTTCCTAGCCTTCATTGGCAGCTGGTCTAGGAGGGAAGCTTTAACAGGCAGACAGAGCACTCAGTTTCTGCAGTATGCTTTGCTCCTAATGGATTGGTGTTACTTTTCCTTTGCAATTAACAAAACAGGCAGAGAAAGGGATCATGCTGCATGGACACCACACGGTCTCTTCAATTTCTTAACATGAGCAGGTCTTGCTAGTTAAACTCGCTACCACCATAGGCTGTGATTTCTGTGTTGCACCGTAGCACAGTGGAAGACCCATCATCATCAATTTCCTCTTCTGCCATTAAGCATTATGGGGAGGCACAGTTTACGATCCATTGCTTGATGGGCAGTAATGGCTATTGTTGTTCCATGTGGATGTAGAAGCTCTTTAAAGCCATCAGTCCATCTTCTCCTAGGGTGACCTCTTGCTTTCACTTCGAGTCTTTTCTTGTGCAGCACCTGTATTGGTAGTTAATCTGGCCGCCCTCTTACTAAATGACCAAACCATTTTGTCTTCTGTTTCGCAGTGAATCTGCTGCATGATGTTGTTCCTACATTCTGGGGGGCAATCTAATTCCTAACTTTGTCTCTGATGGTTAATTTGGCGGCTTTTCTCAGGTATCTCATTTCACAAGTGTTAATTTTACTTAGGTTAGTCTTTGATAATGTCCAAGTCTGGCACTGGTAGCACAGTGTTGGTATGAATATGAATATGAATATGCTGTTTATAATCTGTTTCTGGGGTTAACATTATATATTCAGTTCACCTAAAAAGTGTGTATTCTTTTTTTCTTTTGTATTTGTCCTTAAAAGTATGATTGGAAAGCTGCCTTGTGGTGTACAGCTAGGCTGTGATATCTGCACCTTTTGGTCTAACACGTCCTATTTTAGCAGGTCCTTAATTGGTCAATTTTTCCCAACATGCTTGTTAGGAGGCAGTGAGTCTCTTCTCATTCTCTCTCTCTCTCTCTCTCTCTCTCTCTCTCTCTCTCTCTCTCTCTCTCTCTCTCTCTCTCTCTCTCTCTCTCTCTCTCTCTCTCTCTCTCTCTCCCTCCCTCCCTCCCTCCACACCCGACCCCTCCCCCTTTTTAAATAGGTCCCTAGAACTCAAATGGGGATCTCAAGTGTGGAAAAGACTGTAGAGAATTAAGAGTGAGAACCAAGGATAAAAGTAATGATCTGTTTAAATCACCATTGATTACTGTCATCAGGGGGGTGGGGGGGGGGGGGTTAATAGACTGTGGTGGTTGGGGTACATAAAGAGAATGACAGATAACAAGAGAAACAACAATTGTGGATATAAGAGAGTCGAACAGAAGTAGAGCACAAGGCAGACAAATTTACCCAACTTCATATATTTTTGTATTTCATGTAGGGAGACCAAGCTAACTTTGAAATTCTGTCACAAATGTTCCACACTTCACCAATTACCGGCCTTGACGTCTGCATTAGAAAACCTCTCATTGCGACATGCTCCACTGATCACGCAGTCATGATCTGGAACTACGAAACATGGTATGTTCTGGATGTTTTGTTTTTTAATTTATACTCTTTCACTTGCTAGCATGTTTTGTTTTCAACTTGTGCGCCTAACCAGTTGTCACATAAAGTGTGATGTGCCTTCCTTCCTTCCCCCGTTTCATTTTTTTTTCTGTCCTCTCTGTGCTGCTAACTGAAAGTTTGACCAAACTGAGATTATAGAATCTCAGTTTGAATGGCATGATCAAGGCAAAACTGAGATACCTCATTCAGCCTCTGAAGAATTTATACTTAGAGCATCTATGATGGCTACAGCAAGCTGATGTAACCTGCATTCCTGTGCACATAAAGATTCTGACATGTGAAATATTTAAAAACAAAATAACACTATAAGACAAAATGAGTTAAAGTAAATATTAGGATTGAATGGGTTATTTAAACATTGAATGGAAAGCAAGGATAACAGGAAACAACATGTAATTAACTCTTTTAGTCCAATTGAATGCATCATAGGTGCATTGGTTCCAACCTAGAAGCCCAGTGAACCAAGATGCGCTGATTTTACATCCCTCTTCACTACCCCTTGGGACTCTAAGGCTAAACCCCATGGGATTAAAAGAGTTGAGACCTCAAAAATGTGATGGGTTGCTTGGGTACTGCATGAGTTAAAGTACCCTTATATCTTTGTAGCAAAGCTGGGGTAACTTAGTGGCTAGATGTTCTGCTGCAGACCTGAAGGTCTTTACTTCGAATGCACATCAAGACAATTTTTTTCATCAGAAATGAACTCCAGCTTACGGGTGTACCCAACCTAAAAATGTGTACTAGGTAAAGTCATGGGAAGTAAAGGTGGCTGGCGTGATGTTGACCACATCCCCCATACATAACTGACTGGTTTATTCAAATATGAGTCTATCACGATGTGGATTAGGTGGGCCACCATTGTGTAGCAGCTAATCGCTTGCCACTGGATCAGAAAGTTGTGGGTTCAGATCCTGATGGTAGGCTGGGCTTTTTTTTTTTTTAATGACATTGGCTCCTGGGTCAGCTCAATCTCAAATGGGTACTAAGTACAGTCCTGGGAAGTAAAGGCGGCTGGCATGATGTTAACCACATCAGCTACCGATCGGATTGACCTATAAATTATAGGTCTAGCCCTATATGCCAAATACAGCCTGAAGGTGTATATAAGAGTCCTGTTACAATGTGGATTTAAACCAAAGACCTTGAGGCCAGCAGGTGAGTGTCTAGCCTCTACGCTACGACTGCTCACAGTTTTTATAAAGCTGGGCAATATTGCTGTTAGCAATAACATCATAGAGTAGAGAACTCACTTACAATGGTGACCTAAAAGATTGCAGAAGGTTGCGGTGCTCATCCATGCGGATGTGAAATGTTAGTAGAGACTGCCACATTATGTATCTGTGGAAACTGTAAACACAAGAGAAAGAAAATCTCAAAGCTCTAATGGTGAGATGTCCTGGGAGAGCAGATCATCTGCTTGGCAGAGGCAGACCTCTGCCAAACGTGGATAAAGACATTAAAGATGCATTCGCAGTGAAAGCACAGATGGCTGAAGAATTGGCTAGAGAAAGAGAGACTTTCAGGTGTGATGTGACGAGAGCGCTCTTCTGTAAAATGACCGGCTGATTGGTGATAATGACAGGCAAATAGTATGTAACCAATGAAAGGAGTGGTTAATAGAAAGTATGCCCTGGTATGTACACCCAGCTAAGTGATGTGAAACCTGACATCCAAATGCTTTCTGTCTGACCAAAGAGCTATCTGGCTGTGGTTCTCTAAAAAAAAAATTAATGTCATTTAGCGGCGTACGTGGCTTAGGCATTGCGAGTCTGACTCATAATTCCAACGTACCGCGATCGAAACCCACTGCTGGCTGCGTGGATTTTTATGGGGCGTCCCAGGTCAACCCAGCCTAAAATGGGTAAGAGGATGTATATCCTAAGGAAGTAAAGACGGCCGGCATAATGCTGACCACATTATCTACCTAGTGCCGATAGGTCTGTAAAAATATGGGTGCTCTTTCCATATGCCCAATGCGCCTAAAGGTGTGAAAAGAGATCTTTACTTACTAACTTTACTATGATTTTATTTAAATGGCTAGAAACGAATTCTATCCGTATTCTATACTTATTGATTCAAGCTGTATGACAGACATGGCTAATGAAGACACTTTTTAGAAGAGTCTAGCTGGTCATGTGTCTTAGTACACTTCCCTGCAGGGAGGCTCTGTTGTCATTTGGAAATGTAAGATTCAGTTCCCAGCATGGTAACTATAACTTGCAGTTTATATGTTACTTGTGTGACTTTCTATCTTCTACTTCTTTCCATGAGGGCTAATTAATACATGTCCATTTGTTTATTATATATACCGTTTCTGCAGCCTTAATTAATTGTTCCCCATCTGTTTTCTTCTGTTCCAGTAACTTGGAACTGTATAAAGTGTTTCCCGAGGAGGCTTACAGTATTGCTCTACACCCTTCTGGTCTGTACATTCTGGTAGGCTTCAATGACAAGCTTCGGCTAATGAACCTACTCATTGATGACATTAAACCTTTCAAGGAGTTCACTGTGAGAGGCTGCCGTGAGGTACGTGAGTGAGTGGAATTAAGTAAATGGCCTGTTTTTGTGCCTTGATGGCATCTGGTGTTTGTCTCATATTTTTATAGATTAGTGAGCACTTGATTGATGATGTGGTCAATATTCTCAAGACATAAAAATGAGATTTTAATCTAGGATGCATATATCTTTTGCATAAACTGGGATGAATTCAAGAGGAGGGAAGAAACAAGAGAAATGTCTGGGCAACCACTAGTATCAACAGTTCTAAAATAGAGATGACAAGAGAGTGATCTAACAAGCACTGAGATAGAAAATAAATGGACTGAGAAAAGGATTGTGTCCAAGAGAAACCATAAGGTGAACGTTAATGTGAGAAGTTAAAGGTGCTGGACTAGATCCCATCTATGGTATTGAAGTGATTGCACAGAAGAGAATAGAATGGAGACATAAACTGTGAGCCCCATGTGACATAAAATGGCACAATAGGACAATGAATTACTGAATGAATACATCTGTTTTAGGGACAGTTGGCACCTTTCTGTCTTTCCAGATGGTAGTAATCAACTAATCACAGTCCTGGCCTCCCAGCAAATGCTCCCCCCCCCCCCCCCCCCACCCCCTCCCAATTTGCTCCGTTCCTGTGCCAATGAAAATCACACAGTATGCCTATCACTGTTCCTTTAGAAATAACACATAGACTGTAGTCTCAGCAAAACCAATAGTGTGCACACACATTAAATGAATAAGGCAGCCATCAGAAGTGCAAAAACAAATAGTCTGATACTGAAAGTGCAGTTCGTCATTTATGAAAGCAGTAGTTACAGAAAATCAGTAGTTGCACATGCAGTTTATCGCATAAGACACCACCAGGTCTGTGACAATAGACCATTCACCATTTTCAGAATCTGCAGTTCTCAATTCAAACCACGTTGGGCACAGCTGAAAAGCACTCCAAAAAAAATCCACAGCTCACACCATGCACTAAACTCAGTACCTGGATGATGAAACCATACACTTTCTGTCCACATATATGGAAGAATACAGTGGCTAATCATATTCAGAAGACTGGAAGATGATAGTTTTATACCATGCTATAAAGAGGCTTGGAAATCATAATCAATGGTGACCAAGACCAGTTGAGGCCAAGGATAAAGTTCCTCTTTTCTTCAGCACAAAGTCTGAACAGTACTGCAGAGACCATGTGTTACTTGATCTCATACCTGCCGTAACTACTGCCACAGAAAACCATCCCCAAAAAATGGTTAGTTGCGTATCCTTTACAGGACTTTGCAGAACCAACCCCAACAGCCCCTGGCTATTGTGTGGTTTTTTTAAGGCAAATTTACATCCAGTAGTTTGCCATGGATTTCTGGACAGTCAGCTTTCTTGATACCACTGTCAAAACCAACGCAAGGCGCATGGCCCGCAGCTGGGATCGAACCCGGCATTACGAAGCATTCGCATCGACTTAGCCAAAGAGCCGGCATCCCAAAGAAATAGAATGACTAAAAATTGACACAGAACAAGGGCCAGAGATTGCACAGAAAATGGAATGATGATCTCAAGAACAGCCTAGAGTAAAATGAAGACAAGTGTTGTAACATGGCACTGGAAAGAGCACACAGAAGAATCTTAAAATGTAAGTTACATCTACCCCAATACTTCAGTGCTCAGGATGCTCACCAGTGCTACAGAGTTCATGCAGTGCGCTGAGATTCTTTAAACTCAGGACTGAGTTAGAAGTAGAACGGAGCACTTATAGGTAACATCCGTGTGCCATCATGTTGATCCGTTGAATAGACATAAACATACATGATCTGTTACTAAGCCTTTTTTTTTTTTTAAACTCCAAAAGAAATGTTACACCAAAACATTTTGAATAAAAAATAACTTTGCTGCAGATGCTGCCAGATCAGTAGAGCTATACTTTATTTGTCTGCTTATAGGAGTTTCCCTCCCAAACCAGCTGCCAAACAAGACTAAAGGCTCAGGTCTGCCCTGTCAGTACATAAGTTTTCAAATTGCAAAGTTACTTCCTAGGATATGGCAAGTATTCTTCCTAGGATATGGGTAGTATTCTTCCTAGGATATGGCAAGTATTCTTCCTAGGATATGGGTAGTATTCTTCCTAGGATATGGCTAGTATTCTTCCTAGGATATGGCAAGTATTCTTCCTAGGATATGGGTAGTATTCTTCCTAGGATATGGCAAGTATTCTTCCTAGGATATGGCTAGTATTCTTCCTAGGATATGGCTAGTATTCTTCCTAGGATATGGCTAGTATTCTTCCTAGGATATGGGTAGTATTCTTCCTAGGATATGGGTAGTATCCTTTGCACAATATGGCTACTATCCTTCATAGGATATGGCTACTATCCTTTCTGATGTGCTCCTCCACCCACAATGTGGGATGTCTGGTTCGCAGACAACTAGTAGTACTGACTACAGTTATGTGTTAGCTCAATCATGTTTGACTAATACCTGACTGATTGTAGAGATAAATTTGTTTACATTAGTCAGAATAATCAAGAGCAGTCTGACTGGGTTCCATCACAACATGTGCAGTGTACAATGCCAGCTGTGGTAATTGACTGTTTGCATCAACAGTGAGCTGCAATAGTTGTGTGGGACTGTTAGTGTTGGCACATCTAACTGCCTATTACATTTATTTTGCTTGTGCAAGCTTAGAGATTTTGCTGTGACTGACATGTTTTCCATTAATTTTTAAATGGGAAAATGAAATAAAATGTGTGTGATTTCCATTGCCACAATAAAGGAGCAGTTTTTGGGTGACATGTCTGCAGTAAAGTTGGACTCTTGACTAATGTCTACCTTATTCTTCTTCTTCACTTCCTCTTTTACCACTGTGGGTGTCGAGGGAGATTTAAGGTTCTGTTTCTAGCTCTTCTGGCTGCCTCGCCCATAGGCACATCGTGCTGTTGTAGAGTTTCTCTGATGTTATCCTTCCATCTTGTTCTTGGTCTACCCCGTGCTCTACGTCCTTCTTCTCTTTCCATGTATGCTTTGTATGGTATGGTGTCACAAGGCATTCTCTCTAAGTGGGCAAACCATTTCACTTGCTGTCTTTGTATGTAATCAAAAATTGGTTCTGTGCCGACTTGTTCTCTTATGATCTCATTCCTGATCTTATCTCTTATGGTCACTCCTACAGCCCTTCTCAGACATCTCATTTCCGTGGTTACTAATTTTCTTTTATGGTTTGTTGTGAGTGACCATGTCTGGCACTGGTAGCACAGAGTTGGAATAAATATGCTTTGAATAAGATGTCTCTTTGTGCTGATTGGGATTGTCTTATGCTGTAAGAGGGGGGTTAGCTGTCCCAATACTTGGTTTGCTTTACTGCATCTAATGTCAATTTCTTTATCCAATTTCCCATCTTCGGTAAATGTAGTTCCCAGATATTTAAACTCAGATGCCTGTTTAATGCCTTTGAATTCTATTGCTATGTTTAGATCTGTCTTCTTTTTTCCTATTGACATTACTTCTGTCTTTTCAGTGTTGATTCTCATATTATTTGTTTTACATTCTTCATTCATGGATGTTAGATGTTGTTGCAATTTCATGGCTGTATCTGCTATCAAGGCCTGGTCATCTGCAAAGAGTAATTTGTTGATCTTACTAAGATCTTCATTCATGGGCTTGGCATTCTTGCATATACTGTCAATGTAGGTGATAAACAGCAGTGGTGATAAGACACACCCCTGTCTTACTCCAGATGTCACTGTGAAAGTATGAGATGTTCCCTGATTTATTCTAACTACACTTCTACAATCCCTGTATAAGCTTTTGCACACTTCGATGAGGTGTTCGCTTACTCCATATCTTGCCATTATCTAATGTCTACCAACTAAAATAATATGTGAAATTTTTGGCCGATGTTTTTAGAATATCATGGTTTCTTGTAGTAAGTTGCTTTGCACTGTTTCATGAAGCCTTCAATAGTTTATTTTCTCTAACCTTTGACTGTCCCTATTCTTCCTGCCAGGCAATTTGTGTGTCCCTATTCTTCCTGCCAGGCAATTTGTGTGTCCCTATTCTTCCTGCCAGGCAATTTGTGTGTCCCTATTTGTCTGATTTCTCTCCCTTGACCTCCCTGATGCTGGAATGAACAAACAAGCAAACTTTTTTTTTTTTTTTTTTCAGTGTCACTAATTGGGCACACGGGCCTATCTTTCATTTGGCTTTTCAAACACCTATTTTGTTTTCAAACTCCTAGTGTGTTTTGGTCAACAAAGCATGTTATGTTCATGCTGGGAGACAATACCAGTGACTATAGAAAACATATCTTGTTAATTAAACTTTTGTTATTATCTCTATTTTAAATGGTTTACATTTGTTTTGCCTCATGATTTTTAATTTTACACAATTAATTATCTTAAATTGCTATTATCTTTATTTTATATAGTGTGCATTCAGCAATGGTGGACATTTGTTTGCCTCTGTGATGGGCAATGTTATACAAATATACTCCACTACAACTTTTGAGAATGTCAACAATCTAAAAGGTCATAATGGGTAAGCACAAATATATTGAATGAAAATTTATGTTTAATATGCATTTTATGAAACTAATTTTTGAGAAATAATTAAAGCATCAAAGGCAGTTATAAAACATTAGTGATTTGGCATTAGCAAAGTAAAAGAATATTTTCCACACCATGAGGCTTTGTGGGCATATTGTACAGAACCCTTTAACTCTTTGCAGACTTATCCCCACTTATGTAGCGGCTGAATCCACCACTTTTGGACATATTGCCACTTGAGTGGCTCTGGGCATAGACACTCTAAAATTGTTTCATTTGCTAGGAAAATGAATTTGTATGAACATGTTTTCAAAAACTAGAATTAGCTAAAAGAATTGTTATCGCTTTCTAAGCATGGTGGGGCGATAGGTTTAATTTTTCAATTTGTGTAAAATTAAATCAGTGTAATACCATTTTTGTGTGATTTTCCAGACCAAATGGTAATGGAAAAGCTCTAGAACTGTCCACATCACTGCTGTCTTTGATAAATCTGAGCCAGATAGTGGCAATAGTCTTGATATTATGATTAATAATGCAAGTACAACATCTACTGCCAACAATATAGGTTGGGATGAAGTTAATCAAAATATTTCAGTTGGATCATCCCTGTTTTGATTAGCTTTCTAAGCCACAGACAATATGGGTTGGGATTAAGCTGAACAAAATATTTCAGTCAGATCATCCCTTTTTTGATCAGCTGTGAAATTTGGCCTGTCACACAAAAATGGTCATAAAATCCAAAGTATTTATATTAATTGTCTCAAATAAAGACTAGCTGACGCATATTTGACTAGAGAAGGCATGTGAATTCTTAGAAATGGACAGCAATGTTGTTGATCAATAACAAAAGTAAGTTAAGTAAAAAAACTTCATGTGCAAAAAATATCTTTGTATGTGTCTAACTTCATTAAATGTGGTGTCATTTTAATATTTTGTTGTTGCAAAATATGTTTTCTTGTAAATTTTTTAAGTATACAGTAAAAGGAGGGATGCACAATGATTACTGCGCCTGCATGATGACTGACCTGGGTTCAAATCCTGCTTTCAGGCAAAATGTTTGGAAACTAAATGGCTGTGTGATCAACTGAACCGTATAAAATTGGTATTAGATAACACAATCCACCAAATGTTGCTTGAACAAGAATACGTGGTGGGTTCAGCATCATATCCTTAACTCTTTTAGTCTCAAGCAATGTCTGGTGTGTGAATGAGTCTCTCTATTGATTTATCTCCACAGCATAATGTGTTCTCCTAATTTTAACTTTAAGTGAGAGCATACTAAAGAAACCTGGCTTTCCCAACAGTCACAAGCCATGTGTATCTTGCCACTATGAAAGTAATGTACTCATGATTTTCAACACTGTTATTTTTTCACTTTGCCTTCTACTATGAAATCTTCTGGTCATTATCATCAAATTTCTTGCCAACTGGCATGGGCAATAATGCCTTTCCACAATCTTCGATCTGCAGCTGAGTGTATCAGTTCCTGTGTGTGACAGCCCTCCATGTCATAACAAAAGGCTGTCAAGAATTTTTTCTCACTATCTTCCTCTGTCTGTCTTTCCACAAATCTTTCCAATGGTCACAACATGCTCTACTTCCCCTCTTCTCATAACATGACTAAAACATGATGACTATCTCTTTCTGGTGTTTGTGATAAGTTGTCATCAAGCCCTCACCTTATTCAAAACATCTGGGTTGCTCTTTGTAGCTGTCCAAGGAATTCTAAGGATTCTTCTGTAAAACCCAATCTCTGAGGCCTCAAGAAATTGTTCAGCCTGTTTATTAATCATCCAGGATTCACAGACCCAAGGGCTAGTCAAAAGAGACATAAAATCAACCCATCTTGCCTTTATTGGGTTTCTAGGGAGGGACAAGTTTGGGTATGATGTATTCCTTGGGACTCAAAGAGTTAAGACAGGCTCTATATAGCATGGAAGAATTCTTTTCCTAACCTCTTGTGACATGGATTTATTGCATAAAATGTCATTTTATAAAATGCAGTTTTGGCCTGTTCTATTCTGTTTTTTATCCCCTTGAAATCTTCTGTTACTGTAAGAGTTAACCTGTCACACTGACACGAAAACACATTCCTTTGCATTTAGAACTTCCCGTCACAATAGACGCTAGGCACAGCCACTGTTTTGAGCAGTGGCAGATTTTTTGCTTTTGCCAGACGTTGCATTTTTGCTCCATTTGTAGACTGAAAAGATATAGTTTTGTTTCCCAGCTTCTGAGTTGAGTGCATGGCGTAACACTGTGAACAGCGGATTTCATTTGGAATGTTTTTAGACTGTGACTAAGGTAGTGGTGTGAATTGTAGATTCAGAAAATGGTGCAACGCCAATTGTCGCAATATTGGTGGTGCCATTATGTGATTAAAATTGATCGTGTGTGCAACTGCTGATCAGTTGGTGACTTCTGCTAGTACTACCATCCATGATGAACTGCATTTCTAATGTCGGACTGTTTGTGTTAGCACTTCCGATGGCTTTTAATGCATGTGTATGCTAGTGCATATGCTAGACAGCAGTCAGTCAATCTTTCCACAAGGAACTGTGCACAGGAGCCGAGCAACTATGGGGTGACCCGTTTGCTATAAAGCTGAAACTAAGATTACCAGATTAACTGATTTAGTCGTATCTTCTGATGATTTATACAGTGTATTAAAAATCCTCTTACCTTTCACATTAAATTTTTCCCGCTTCAGAAAAGTCAAAGCTGTGGTGTGGAGTGCAGATGACAGCAAACTGATATCCTGCGGCATGGACGGGGCTGTTTATGAGTGGGATACATTTACGGGCAAGCGAACCAATGAAAGTGTGTGGAAGTCGTGCGCTTATACCAGCGTCACAGTTACTCCTGATGCAAAATCCACTTTTGCAGTTGGATCTGATAGAACTCTGAAAGAAATTGCTGATTCACAGGTCTAATTTATGTTTTTAAAATGTTTTCCACATGTCTATTTACAAAAAGTTTTTATATAATGTGCTGTATAGGGAAGGTAATTCAGTCCTTACTCACCTACACCTGATTACAGATTACTTTGTAACCGATATGGCTATATGGTTGAATAGGATTTCCCAGATTTGTACCTGTTTGATTCTCATCCCTGAGCTGTTGTTTCTACAGATTGCAATCCTGGATAGAAAAATCTAAAATTTACAAATAAATTATGTCCTAAAAGATGGGGTTAGCCCTAGGTTAGCCATGTTTCTTCTACAGTTCTTTGTCGACAGGCTCCAACTCGCAGGAGCAGACTGCAAGAAAAGGCAGTGGATAAAAAATAGAAGTTAGTAGAGAGCCTCTGTTGCCAAGTGGTTAGCAAACTCAGTTAACAGTTTCATGATCTACGAGTACCAGAGTTTATTTCCTGTGGGATACAGTTTAACTCTTTCAGTCTCAAGGAAGGCGTCATACGTTCATAGAATCAGTCGGTCAGGTGCAATCTCCACACTAAAGGTTGGCTGCAGTGGATCTCCAACATGCTCTGTCTCTTGCCCTGGTTGTACGTTCTCTCAGACTGCTGCCCGGCCACCTCTTGATGTTGTCCTCCTTCTTGTATCATTGACTACCTTTTGCTTTCGACCTTTCCCTCCAGTGTGGTTTTCGAAAGTGTGTTATTTCTTTTAATGTTTCCAAAGTATTTCAAATGTCTCTTTTTTATTTATTTCAGTAATTCTCTTTTAGTTTGAAGCTTTTTCAGAACTGTTTAGGACTGTTTTTGTCTCCATGAAATGTGACCTATTCTTCTGTGTACATTTGTTAGGTTCCTACCTAGAAGCCCAATGAACCCAAAATGTGGTGAGTTTACATCTCTCTTTACTACCTCTTGGGCCTCTGATGCTAAAAAAACAAAAAGTTTTTCATGGATATTGATGATGGTATGAGAGTCATACCATAGAAAAGATTAGGACCTCACCATGTAATATTCTCAAAGACAACAGTAGTACACTGTAGCCAACCTTCACTGTGGAGACAACCCATAATATTTCTAAAGATGGCAGCACATCATCATCATTATCATGGCATGAGCGATCATAACTCTCCCCAACCCGCGATCTCTAGCAGCATGTGTAAGTTCATGTATGGATACCCCTCCATGACATGACAAAGGGCTGTCACAGAATCTTCTTTTGTTGTCTTTTTCTGTCTCTCTTCAGAAATCTTGACAGTGAGCGCAGCATGTGTAAGTTCCTGTATGGATACCCATCCACGCCCCACGCCATGACAAAGGGCTGTCAAGAATCCTCTTTTGTTGTCTACCTGTATCTCTCTCCAGAAATCTTGTCACTGAGTGCAGCATGTTCCCCTTTCCCTCTTCTCATAACATAGCTAAAAAAAAATTTGACTGCTTTTTTTTAATGTTTGCAATCAGTTCTTTGGACCATTGACTCATTCACAACACCTCAGCATTATCATCATCAGGTGCCTTGCCGACTGGCGTAGACGATCATGCCTCTCCATAATCTCCGATCTCCTGCAGCATGTATCAGTTCGTGTGCTGACACACCTCCATGTCATGCAACAAGACTGTCAAGAATCTTCTCTCGTTGTCTTCCTCTATCCCTCCTTCCACAGATCTTTCCAGTGGTCACAACATATTCTATTTTCCCTCTTTACATAACATGGCCGAAAAATTATGACTGTCTCCTTCTGATGTCTGTGATTAGTTGTCTTCAGGCTCCCGCCTCTTTCAAAACCTCTTGGTTGCTCTTTTTGGCTGTTTAAGGTATTCTAAGCATTCTTCTGTAAAACCACATCTCTGAGGCCTCAAGAAATTGTTTGGCCTGCCTACTGATTGTCCAGGATTCTTAGCCATATGTTAAAACTGGATGTATGTAGCAACAATAATTCTTTTTCTAATTCTCCAAACAAAAAAAACATGTAGCTCACAGTGTCATGCCATTCACTCAACTCAGAAGCTGGGCAACGAAACTATATCCTTCCAGTCTAAAAATGGAGCAAAAATGCAACAGCCACCGTCTAGCAGAAAAAAAGAAAATTTGCCGCGGCTAAAAAAAAAGGTGGCCGTGCCTAGCGTCCACTTAGACCTGCCTGAAGCTAAAGGATATATTGCACAAGGTTATATTGCACAAGGATATATTGCACAAGGTTATATTACACAAGGTTATATTGTACAAGGATATATTGCACAAGGTTATATTGCACAAGGTTATATTGCACAAGGATATATTGCACAAGGTTATATTGCACAAGGTTATATTGCACAAGGATATATTGCACAAGGTTATATTGCACAAGGATATATTGCACAAGGTTATATTGCACAAGGATATATTGCACAAGGATATATTGCACAAGGATATATTGCACAAGGTTATATTGCACAAGGATATATTGCACAAGGTTATATTGCACAAGGTTATATTGCACAAGGATATATTGCACAAGGATATATTGCACAAGGTCACTCTCACAACACCTAGGCTATTTAAATTGGTTGTCCAGGGAATTTGAAGCATTCTTCTGTAAAAACCAAACCTCTGAGGCTTCAACAGTTTATTTGTCTTGTTTATTAATTATCCAGGATTCACAGCCATATGTTAAAATTGGCTCTATGTAGCGTGCAATAATTATTTTTTTAAGAAACTAAAAAGAATAAGAAAACATCACAAAAATGGTATTGTCAGCTGTTACATGCTGCAAGATGCATGGAGGAAGGACTATGAACATTTATGGACTGAATGGCTCTATGTACAGTAAGGAGGATTTGTCGACTAACTAATTAATAAACTAAGACTCCAGCGGCGATTACCTAATTAAGTAAGTCTCAAGCTCAGTGTCCAGCAGTGGTGAGGCGTGATCAATTCATATGTGTAAGTGTTAGCAGGTAACACTTACACTGGAGAGGGTATAATTTGTTATTTTCCTCATTGCTTTGCTATTGAGAGTATGTTGTAGTACTGGTAACTGGTAGCTTTCACACGTTATAGTTTCTGCGTGAGTGGTGTGAGCATACAGCAAGCTTTCTTTTCACTATGTTGGAGGCGTGAACCAAGAAGTGTATTTGTGATAAATAATTCTTTTTCTTCTACTTCACTTCCTCTTTTACCGCTGTGGGTGTCGAGGGAGATATAAGGTTCTGTTTCTAGCTCTTCTGGCCGCCTGGACCATAGGCACATCGTGCTGTTGTAGAGTTTCTCTGATGTTATCCTTCCATTTTGTTCTTGGTCTACCTCATGCTCTACGTCCTTCTTCCCTTTCCATGTATGCTTTGTATGGTATGGTGTTACAAGGCATTCTCTCTAAGTGGGCAAACCATTTCACTTGCTGTGATAAATAATAAATTGTAATAATAAAAAGTAAAATTTTGCATTTTTATTTTGCATTGGAAATTGTAAGCAGTGATTTCAGTTGCTAAATGCACACCTCGCAACTGTTGGCCAGTGTGTGAATTGCTAGGTAAAGGATGAGTTAATTCTCTCAAAATACTAAAGTGACATAGCAACGTATATTCGAAATGTATACTTTCTCACTTCAGATCTTGCGAGAAGTACCAGCCGGAGACATGATACTCACTGTAGTGGCTTTGTCTCATTCGGGTCGGATGCTTTTTGCTGGTACCGTGAAGGGCACAATTTGGTCAATGAAATATCCATTGGCAGTACCTGGCGATTGGACAGAGCATCATGGTCATGGAGCGGCTGTTGTAAAGGTGTGCTTTATTTAGTAATTTATTTGGTACACTTGGTAACTGGCAATTTATTTTGAGGTTTTTTTTTTTTATATTTCAAATTAGAATATTCATTTGTATTATTTTACCATTTGAAAAAAAGAATTAACTTATGTGATAGCTAATACATTTAATAGTACATGGTTTTTTTTTGGGGTCAGATTTACTTCAGTGTATGGACACTAAACTACTTATTTCACTTGGGTTTTGCAGACGGACTTCTCATTATGTTCTCTCTATGTTTTTATGTTCTCCCTTCACCTCCTCTTCTCACTATTTCCACTCACAGGCACTGAGCCAGCTTCCAGCTTCTCAAATTCAGAGTGTAAATATTTGAGAATTGAAGCCGAAAAGTCATAATTATGAAACTAGATTCATAACCCCTAAGTCCTTGCTGCCAGCTATAAAGTTGGCTACTTAGGTGATGTAAAAGTTCTTTTAGTTCCAAACCACATAAAATCTTTCTTTGAGGTGAGTTGAGTTGAGTCCAGAATTGACATCACAGCACTCTGGGCATTCCCATGCATGCTTCGTCCTCATCTTCAACAGCCATTGCAGAGTACTGATGGCACCGGTCACAATCTGGTTACAAGTCTGTCAAGTCCTTCCTCTGAGCGCAGTGAGCCAGCCAGACCCTCTGTTTACACCCAGGTGCCTCATTCTCTCCAGGCCATAATAATCTTCTTTCTCCACTGACTCCGTTGCCTGCTCCCAAAGGGCCCTGACCACATCTGCCCCGTAATCTTTCTTTGAAGGAATTTTAATTTAGCAAGCCAATTTATTATGTACAACTTTTCTACTTTTGTTACACAGATGAAAATTACCTATGATGACCAGTACTTAGTGAGCATTGGTGAAGATGCATCGGTCATCCTATGGAAGATACAAGACAAGGAAGGCCGTGGTCTGAAGAGAGACAAGGAGATTGGCTGGGCTGAAGAGATTCTTGTCACCAAAAATGATCTTGAGGAAAAGGTTAGGAATAAAAGTGATCTGTCACTTATTGTATATCTTTGTTAATTTTACTCGAGATCACAGATGCTGAGTTAGTGGTTAAGCAGGTATTGCAACAGTTACATTCAGAAGTTGGAGGCTAGTAGTCCCAAAGGACATCCTCAATGGTGTACTGCAGATAGTTGCAATATGTTGGGGTCAGCCACTTCTGTGATATAAAGATGTTTACAGGTGGGAAATGAATGATAGAGGCATTAAATTAGATTCATGGGAAAAGGATATGATGGATCTTGTTTTGCATGGATGAGAAATAACTAGAGTGCAGACTGAGAACACTATCATTCCTATGGTAACTATTTTCAATGATCCACTATAGAGCTGTAATGATTGCCTCCACCTCCATCCTCATGCTTGAAGTAGTAGATTTAGAAAAAAAAAACATTTTGCTATGCATTGATCTTTCCCTTCACTCTAGCTGACCCCACCTTCTCCCTCCCACCGACAATCTGTCACTCCTATGAATAGTGTACACTACTTCATCATCTAATGATGCATTCATTCATTCATTCACTATCCTGGAGTTCCATTATATGTCACATATGGCTCACATTCTATCCCTGCATTTCCTTATATCCTGTGCCATCAATACAATATCATGGATGGAATCCACTTCAGCACCCCTGGTCTCTCTCCTCAATGATTGTCTCATGGTTTCTTTTGAGCGTCCTCGCCTCCATAATCTCTTTATTTCCCATTTTGATGCCTTTTGATAATTCTCTGCTCGTTTCTTCTAAGGATGTGTCCAGTATCACACCATCTTATCAATTGATACTAGTGGTTGCCCAGACATTTCTCTTATTTGTTCAGCCTTCTTAAATTCATCTTTTTCTTTCAATTGTTGTACCTCTGATTCTGCCATACCATTACACCCCTTTCTACATTCTGTTCCTAATGTGATAATAACCTGATGGAAACTACTTTCGTGTATGTTTCTGTCGACACATTCTGCCCCCTGAATAATACTTAACCAGATTATCTAACACTTATTTATCTATAAATCAAACATCTTGAGGTGTGTCTTCTTCTTCATTTAAATTCGTTCTTAAAAGGATGAATCATACTTTATGCTGTGAAAGACTAAAAATTGCCAACATTCATTTTACAACAGTTATCATCATAATCAAATAAAACTGGCAAATGCAATCATGCTTTGCCACAGCTCTCATTAGAAAATTGAATGTTTATTCATATACTGATGAACAAGATGAACAGATACCAGATTTTTGTCTTCTCTATTATATACTTTTTTATTTACCATTTCATTTTAAAAGTTGTTGCCAAACAATGTTGCCAGATAATTTCTTGTTGTTTTCTAATGTATTTAATAAGCTTCTTTGATTTGGGTAGCCATTTTTCTGTCCAGAGAACTGAAACATTCTTTTATAAAATATTTTAAGAGATTTTCTAAATTGTTTAATGTTTGTCCAGGATTTACAGTCATTAACCTCAATTATGATTTTTATTTTTTAATTGAAAGTTGATTTTTAAATTTATAATTTAAAACACAAAGACATACCTCACACACATAGACACACACACACTCATACACATAGACACACACACACACATAGACACACACACACTCACACACATAGACACACATACACACTCACACACATAGACACACATACACACTCACACACATAGACATACACACACTCACACACATAGACACACACACTCACTTCCACACAAATTGTTAATAATTTGGTAAAATAATACAAATGCTATGCTTTTTATAATCATTTAAATTTTTAAATGTGTGTTATAGAACTCAACATTGGCTGATCTGAACTCTCGGGTTGAAGAGCTGAAAATGGAAAATGAATATCAGCTTCGACTGAAAGACATGACTTACAATGAAAAGATGAAAGAGCTGACTGAGAAGTTCATCCAGGAGATGGAATCCTTGAAGACGAAGAATCAGGTATTTAAACTATGTTTTTAATTAGAAATTCTTATTGATTAGTATTTAATAAATTCTAAATGCAACATATAGCCAGTGTAAAAAAATATTTTTTTTTTTTTTTTTTTTTTTTTTTACGTATCCAGAAACCATGAGTTGTAAACCCTTTGGCTCGGTACTATGGATATCGCAACCCTTCGGCCTTGATTCCATTATAGGTACCGTTAATCTGGGAGAAATGTGGCTTTTCTGCCTACCCCCGGGAGTGAACCCGGACCACAAGGAGTTCGTCACCCGGCCGCCGCGAAAGTCCGGTTTAACCAACTGTGTGTGTGTGCATGCATACGTGCGTGCGTGTGTGTGTGTGTGTGTGCGTGTGTGTGTGTGTGTATATATATAAATAATTATATGTGTGTTTGTGTCTGCATGCATGTGCGCATGTGTGTGTTTGTGTATATAAAACTGCTGTGGGGAAAGAACAGAAAAAAAGAATGAACACATGAATATTACCCGTGTCTTTAGAGGACCACAGAAAAGTAATGTTAACTTACCATAATTGTTGTAAGAATTGACTAAGAAAGGTTAGCACGGAAATGCCTATTTTATCCCGCATAAACTTTTAGCGGCAAAACTGAAACAGCTATAATAAGGATTGAAAAATAACTGCCCAGCCTCGATGAAAAAATATTTTTTTCTAGAAGTATGTGTCGGAGAAAAGGTGTAACAAGCTTAGATCACTGTCTTTCACCTTTGTTGTCAGAACTGTATATAAACTGAGAAAGATAGCACAAGTGATGAGGAAAATGAAATATTGAAAGAATCAGGCAAAATAAAATGAAAAAGAGCAGCAAAAAGATCTTTTATCTTTTAAACCAAAACCAAAAAGTACTGTTTTTAGAGCATGTAGAAAAAAAATCTCACAGTGAAGAAGTAGTCATAATGCTATATATTGATGCAGAAGGCACCATTTAGAGTGGGAAGCAGTGAGGTCTAGAAAAATAAAAGCACCATTTAGAACCACAATAAAGAAACATGAATGTGAACCAATGTTATGCCCCAACAAATGAATGAATCAATTTGGAAGAGTGTTATATTATTTGGCTGCTTTTATACAGAAGACTGGTTCAAACCCTTGATAAGGTCATGGATTTTCTTCTATTCAGGGCCACACACTCACACAAAATCCTAACCTGCACAGTCCATGATGACAGCACTAGCCATGCGGCCATAAATCCTCATGCTCAAAGACCACCTGCATATGCCACAAAAGTGGTCAGTGCAGGCAGTACCTGGCAACATTTCATTTTTTTGTCTGTCAGTTATATTACTTTCTTTTTAAGGTAATGGTGTACAAGCATATTTTACTAAAAAAAACATTGTGTCTACATTATTTAATTTCACTACAGAAAAAGACTGTTTTCAAATTTTGACAAATGTTAATTGTAAATATTTTGTAAATGTTACATAGGTCCTAAAAACTGACAAAGACAGAGAGGAAGCAAAACATGAAGAAGACATGGCAGAGCTAATGGAAATGCATGCCAAAGAATTACAAGATCTTGGTTAGTGTATATTTTCTTTTCCTTCTGTCTTTGTGTCAAAAATAGCAGTTGGCATGTTGTTTTGTGGCTTACAGCTAGGCTGCAACATCTGTGCCTTTCTGCTCAACACATCCAGTTTCAACAAGCCCTTAACTAACTGCCTTTTACCCCACGCTTGATCTTTCATACATCTTGGGTAATCAGTCGTTTTACACTTGTGGAGCTTTTTGGGGAGGGGATCAGAGCACCTATATATCTGTCCGCTGTGCTGTGATGATAATCCTAATTCTAATCACTAATCACCCCTTGGGTATTGAAATGTTTGGCAGATGTAATCATAACCCACCCACAGTGAGCTATAATTTACTTCATAACCGTTTCGTGGTGCCCGAGCATAACTGTGAAGTGTGGCTGAATGGGTTGAATGGGTTTTCCAGGATTTGTACCTGTTTAATTATCATCCTTGAGTGGTTAATTATGCAGAATGCAAATTTGGAAGGGGAAGGGAAACTTTTTTTTAATACATGCATTTTAATATATTTACTGTAAAACGAAAACAAATCAGGTGATGGTACACATCTTTTTCTGGAAGATTAGTGTACAAGATTAGTGTACGAGGGAAAGTCAATCAGTTAGTCACAAATGTTTGTGGAATGGCAGGAAAGTGTAGTTGGTGGTTTCTACAGGCATCATTAGGTGACAGCAACATCAAACTTTATGTCTCCATTCATTAGTTGGTGTCAGGTGTTGCACCAACACAGAAGGAAATGCTTCCTGTTTATTCTGACAAATGTTTATCCCGTAAATCGATGTATAGCTGGTCCACTGAAAACCCACCTTAGCGGGAGAGATTTCATGAATGACACCGAAGTTGACTTTGAGGTGAAAATTTGGTGTAGAAAACAGAGCATGCAGTTATGTGCAGCAGGTTTTGAAGGACTGATAAAACAATAGGACAAGTGCATCAATGTTGGTGGCAATTATGTTGAAAAATAAATGGACAGTGTTTGTGTAAACAAAATTAGTTTTCATGTTATTATCGCTAATTTTTTTTTTAAAACAACCTTTTATGACTTACTTATTGACTTCCCTTCAAATATTAAAATCTTTTCTTGACAAAGAAACTTACCAATCTATTTCTGGCTGCAGACAATATTTGTTTATTTATTTTTCTCATTATTATTTTTTTGTCTTCAGAATTTGAGAATGAAATTATGGGGTTTTTTTTACAGACATTATGCTTATCTACCAGTTTTCTTTAAATTTGTAATAAAATAAATTTTTTAAATAAAATAGAGAAATTTGTAATTTAAAAAATGTGTGTGCATTTTTGGACATGTGCGTGTGTGCATGCATGTGTGTGTGTGAGCATGTGTGTGCGTTTTATTGTGACTATGTATTATTATGAGTATGTGTCATTGTGTATATAAGTGAGTATGTGTCTGAGAGAGAGAGAGAGAAAGGTAGATTGAGAGAAAGAGAGAGATAGGTAGATTGAGAGAAAGAGAAAGAGAGAGAGAGTTATCACATACAGAAACTATCTAAAACATTTTTATAAAACAATTTTGCTTTTTACTCCAACATTAGAATCTGCAAACAACCAAAAGTTGATGTTAGAATATGAGAAGTTTCAAGAACAACAGGCAAAAACATTGAAAATACAGGAAGATTACGAAAAACAACTAGCAGAGATGGAAGAAAGCAAGGAGAAGGCACTAGAGGAACTGACTGTATATTATGAGACTAAATTACAGGAAATGAAAGTGAAACTGGAGCAGGTGAGATCAGCTTTGTGTGTCATATGCTATAGAACAAGCATGCCAAACTTAGAATCCCCCCAAGGGTCATGTGGGTAGCATTTGTGTTGTCATGAGGGCCCACACACAACAACTACTTGAAGTCATTTAATACACATTTTAGCAGAATATTCTTACTAAGGGTCTCACGTGTGCTTGCAAAGGGCCACATGCGGTTCGCTGGCCACATGCTAGACATGCCTGCTAAAGTAGAAGTTAGAAACCTACAGAATGATTGACATGCAAGTTTTGTTTTACTTAGTGTTAGCTGAAGAAAATATGTAAACAAAATTTTAAGTACAGGACATGTTGACAAATGTGGCATAGGAGCTGTCAGCATGATTTCATAATTTTAGCAACCTGGGTTTGATTCCGCTACTTTTAGGCAGCAGACCTCTTTGCAATGATGTCAAGAATAGCATCAATGTTGACCATTTAGAAAGCAATGTAAACACTGAATTGAAAATTGCCTACCAAAAACACATATAATCTCAACAAATGCTAGTGTTGGTTTATTATGTCTTGTAAAAGGATATACAGCTAACTTGTCAACAGGCACCAACTTATTACTTATAATTTTATCAACAGTTTTAAGTCCAACAACTATTGAAGATAACAAATAGATCGTTTTTTATTAGAATTTCGTAATTAGTCGTTCTTCTACCTTTAAATATAGGTATTAGTTATAATGAATGATAATGCTTATATGAGAGAAAGCTGAGAGAAGAGAAAGAGGCAAACTTGAGACTCAGAGGAGAGACAGGGATCATGAGGAAGAAAGTATGTATAAAAAAATTTATATTTTGTTGCCCTTTTCTTTTTCCTTTTTTTTTTTTTTCTTCCAATGTTAGTTCTATCAGTAATTTACACAATTGTTTTTTAAATGTGATAGAAAAAACATATGAGGCTGTCCTGAAAATACGCATAAAAGCCATAAACTGAATTAGTGAAATTAGGTTAGCCGGTGAAAATTTATAAGACATGTTTTAAAAAGAAATAATTTGTGCGTGTGTGTGTGGTTTTTTTATAAATTTGAAAACTGGGAAACTGTCAAGGAGCAGAGCTAGGAGTCTAGCAGAGAAAGGCCAGCACACAGAGAATAGTATATAAAAGCTTTTTTTTTTTGGTAACTAAAAGGTATCACGCGGCGTCCTTCGCTTAGGCGTTGCGAGTCCATCTCGTAATCCAACGTACCGCGATTTAAACCCACTGCTGACTACGTGGATTTTTTTCCCTGGTATCGTCGCAGGTCGACTCAGCCTCAAATGGGTACCAGGATGGCTGTCCTGGGGAAGTAGAGACGGCCGGCTTAATGCTGACCACATTACCCACCGAGTGCTGATTGGTCTGTAAAATATGGGTGCTCTTCTCATACGCCCGATGCGCCTAAAGGCATGAAAAGGGATCTTTACTTACTACTTTACTTACTTAAAAGGTATCACATTTCAAAATAGTTTTTAAAGCTTCATATGACTTACAAGGAATTACATTTCCTGCATGTAAACAATGGAAGCAGTTTTGGTGGGCAGCAAGATGCTCACCTGCGGATTTTTTTAAAGGAGTAGAAAATTATAGGGAAGAGAACAAGTTGGTAAGAAACAACAAATAGTTTATGTTAGCTTTACAAAATCGATCACAAAAAACAAACAAAGGATGTTGCAGCGATTAGCCTTTATCAGCACATAAGGACAACACAGTACGCATACACAAATATGCTCTAACTATGAAGTGACTACATGGGACTCTACTATATAAAATAAATGATACTCATTTGTGTCCCTGGTGAAAAAACTTTGTACCTGTGGATTGAAAGGTTCAAGTCCTAGCAGAACTGAACTTTTTTTCTTTTCTTCAAAAATGACCTTGGCTCCCAGGTCAACCCAGCCTTAAAATGGTACCAGGTTGTTGTGTATCGAATCTTTATTTAATTGAGAATGTATACTTGTTTCATAATTCATGAGGAGAAGGATCAATATTGCATGAGTTCTGTGTCTGTCTAGACTTAGTACAGGAAAGGGAAGCGATGATCATCATGAGTCGAGTTTAAGCCACAAGCTAACCGTGTATCTATGTGGTGAAAACTCAGACACATGGAATGAACTCTGGCAAGTCTCAAGGAGAAAAAAGATGCATGGGAAGCTTTCCTACTGATAGGATGTTTTGTGTTCCTTGTTTGTGTTCTGTCTCGCGACTATATGCCGTAGAGATTAAGTGCACTTTGCAAAGTCTCAAGCAGTTTGATAAGTTGCGCCCTTATAATTGAGCATATTATTGTACTTTTCGTCCTTCTTAGAACGTTATTTTTTGTTATTTGAAGCCCCACTCTGGCTTTTGCCAGGGGCCGCAATATAGGCAGGTCAGCATTATGGCCAAATGTCTGAACGCGGTTTCTGGGACCTCTCCACAGTGATCCTCATCCGCATGGTGGCACTTTGTGTCATCGGGTGTTTATCGCTTGTGTGATGTCCTGGTGGGGTAAAAAATCCAATTGAGCTTATTATTCAACAGCAAGACCAAGTATGTATAATTTGGATGGTAACCATTTCTACTGCTAGCACAGTTGTAATTGGGAGAGTTCTGCCACTTTGACACAATGGAAGTAGAGCTAGAACTCACCCATACAGGTAGTGATTGGATGGAATATCTGAAACCGTGAATACCCACATCTGTGTAGCACACACCAAGATGCCTAGATCCTCTTCGGTACCTGATGCTGAAAGGCAGAGGAGGGTCTAGAGAGGAAAGAAAAAAAGCGTCGAAAAAAGTAAACGGTGATGATCCCCAGAAGTAAAAATTGCCTCATGAACCAAATGACACAGCTATGAAATGAACCAACGACATCCAGAGCACAATGCAAACAGTTTGACCACTTCACCATAGAGACTCCTGTCAAAATAGGATTACATTTGAGTCCAACTGAGATACTGATTTCAAATTTGATTCTTCTTTTCCCCCTAGTTCACAACCCTGCAGAAAGAGATTGATGACCATAAAGATGAAATTAAGAAGCTGCAGGCGGAAAGCTCTAAACTGAATAATGTCATCCGTAGCTTAGAAAAAGACATCCAGGGACTCAAGAAAGAAATACAAGAGAGAGATGATACCATTCAGGACAAGGTAGGTCATCTTTTAGCAATGCATATCCTTTTGAATTATGTAATGTAACTGTGTATAGATGTGAGTCGTGGATTATCTCCCAGTCCTTAAGAAGGAAAAAGTGGGTTTTTGAACTTAATGCTATAGAAAGATTCTCAGAATACCATGGACAAGGAAGAAAAGAAATACTGACATTCTAAAAGATCTAAATATCAAGGAAAACTGGCTAAAAAACAGTATCTTGTCTCAGAAGCTGAAATATTTTAGCCATATCAAGCACCAAGAGGGGAAAAAATGTATAGCAGAAGACATGGTACCAGGAAGGAGGGACAGGAACCAACCAACACGAAGATGGGCACAGGATATAAGTGAATCCTTGGATATGATTATATTAATAAACAAATAGACAATGTATTGATCATCACTCATAGTAAGAAGTAGAAAGATAGAAGGACACACTAGACAACATAAAAATTGAAAGCCTTAGTTACGGTGCTGGGAAACGAACATGTCACCTCCAGATGGTAAGTGCACCTCGCTTTGGAAACAACTGCACTAAGATCATGGTCAACTAGGCACCCCAAAAAAGGTGTCTTCATTGGCCATGTCTATCTTACAGCTTGAAATCGACATCTATGAAATAAGGACAGAATTCATTTCAAACCATTAAAAAAGCACCATAAGTTACAGAAATTTGTATTAACTAAGCATAGGTCGAATAAACAAACACAGCAACAGTTTACAAACACAGTAAGTATGGTATGGCCTTGTGACATGGGACTGCTGCAGTAACCATGAAAACCATTCTAGGCACTGTGAAATTTCCTTTCTTACAGGGCTCTAGCGAAGTTGACGCAGGCCTGGCCAGCTGACAATACAAGTGTTGATGTATTACCGCTACAAAGAATATACTGAGATATAAATGGATTTTATAAATCCTCAGTACCCGAAGTGGTAAAAGAGAAAACGAAAAAGAAACGAAGATTATGACCTTGTACCCTGCTTTATTTTGTAATATAATTGAAACATTTATATCCTGCTTTATTAACTCTTTGAGTCCCAGGGGGTTTAGCATCACAGGCCCAAGGTGTAGTCAAAAAAGACGTAAAATCGGCCGCATCTTGTGTTCATTGGGCTTCTAGGTAGCATTCTATGAACGTATGACGCGTTCCTTGGGACTCAAAGAGTTAATAAAATAAAGGTAACAGGCCTTTTCCCTGTTATTGACGCATATTCTTGTAGACCAATATACACTTGTTGGATGACATAGTAGACCTCATGCATGTCCTTGTTTTGTTATGTTGTATAATTGTATTATTTATGTTTTATTTTGAAATATTATTGAATCATCGATACTGGTTAATTGTGAAATATAATTGTTACATTTGTATCCTACTTTCTTGTACTTCTTCTTCTTGTTCTTCATCTTTTTCTTCTTCTTCTACTTCTTCTTTTTTTACTCCTCCTTCTCCTTTTCTCTACACCCTGTTCTGCTTTCCGGTGATAGGTTTTAAAAAGGCATCTGGTGAAAGTCTTGGTGTGTAGTACATAGATCATCAGTTCTCAACCTGTGGGTCGTAACCCCTTTGGGGGTCGAACGACCATTCCACTGGGCTCGCCAAAGACCATCGAAAATGCATATTCACTGAAGTTATAAAGTAGCAACGAGAATAATTTTATGTTTGGGGGTCACCACAACATAAGGAACTGTATTAAAGGGTCGCAGCATTAGGAAAATTGGGAACCACTGACAAAGATGCTAGTACTCATAGTCTCAGATATTCCATCTGTTGCTTGTGTGGACCTCTGTCTCTGCTTCTGTATTCATATACTACACCCAGGGCGGCCATAATTTTTTCACGAATAGTACCAAATCTCTATCCAATGTACAGTTTCGCTCGGCAAGGGTCAAAGAATACCAGATTTGTATGAAAGTACCAACTTCGGCAGCCCTGCTACACACCATTAGAAGTGGCAAACAGTCTTACCTAAAGGCACCACTTAATGTGACTGCTAAAGTACTAAATTCTTCTTCTATCTTTCATCTTCAAATGGAGCATAGGCTGTCAGCCACCTCATGCCAATCCCTTTGTAGTTCAGGATTGTTTGGATTTTGCAGCAAAGGTTTTCTATGAGATGGGATAGCTAATTCCACATCAGTTTCCCCTGTCACTTTATACAAAGTGCATGAAAGCAACACTGTTACCATTCTTTTCTTCTCTTATTATAGACCACAGTAACAAATGGATGCAATTTATACAAATTTCTATGTCTTCTTTCTATGTTCCTTTTATTTGAATGAATGAATGAATCAAGAATTTATTTCAATGCACTCGGGACATCAGCACATGTGCTACGTCTCCTTCCTCAGTGGACAACGAAGAGTCGACATACTAATAGTACCAGCTGCAACCTGAGTAAAAGTCTGCATAAGTTAGTTGTAGTATAAAGTAGCTCACCACCCAGAGGGGTGGCAGCAGCAAATTTATCAATTTATCAGCGTGCTCATTACCCTGCACATCTAAATGTCCTGGACAATTTGAATACAAAAGATACGCAGGCAGGGCAGAACCGTAGGGAAACATTTCCCTGACCCTTTCTACCCAGTGGCGGATCAGGTATATGATGCTAGACACATATTTGTGTAAACCAATCAGTGCTCAGTGTGGCTATGTGGTACTAGACACATATTTGTGTAAACCAATCAGTGCTCAGTGTGGCTATGTGGTACTAGACACATATTTGTGTAAACCAATCAGTGCTCAGTGTGGCTATGTGGTCGACATTATAAGGCAGTCTTCACATCCCAGAGCATTCTGTTTTAAGCTGGGTTGACCTGGGGTCGGGCTTGGGGGGGGGCAGGGGGGAGGGGGGATCTGACTCAGTGCTGATTCAGACTTAGATGTTCTAGATGACACGTGAGCCAGAGGTCTAGCCATGCCTTGCCTTAGAGAAATGTGGGGGGGGATGGGGTGGTGGAAGGAGCTGTGGGGAAAGGAGCTGTGGGGGAAGGAGCTGTGGGGGAAGGAGCTGTGGGGGAAGGAGCTGTGGGGGAAGGGTGTGGGGGAAGGGTTTTATTTTAGAATGCATTTATAGATTAATTCATATCCCTATAATGAAAAATAATACTCAAGAAAATATTTTTAAACTCACCTCAAATTATGTTCTGAGTGGTTTTGTTGTTGATGTTGTTGACTGTTTTAATTTCTAGATTAATTAAAGTTCACATCATAATAATAACCATTAATGAAAGCAGAACCAACAACAGTAGCAATAACAACAACAACAATCAGAACATCGTTCGAGGCAAGGGCAACAAATTTAAAAATATATTCTTGTGTATTTTTCCTTAATGGAGATGAAAAGGTGGTTTATTCATCTCTTTTTTCTCTCTTATTTAAAACATTAATTTTTTTCATTTTTTCATATTTTATGTATCTTACATTGTTTGCTAAACTACTTCTTTACAGGAAAAACGTATCTATGATTTGAAAAAGAAAAATCAAGAACTGGAAAAGTTCAAGTTTGTGCTAGACTACAAGATCAAAGAACTCAAGAAACAGATTGAACCAAGAGAAATGGACATTAAAAATATGAAAGAGCAGATTCAGGAGGTATAGCAGTACAACATAGTGTTACTATATTAGATTTGAAAAACATTAACCTTTTCAACCCCCTGACCTAGAAAAAAAACAAAGCCAAGTTTTTGTCATCATCATCATCAAGTCATCATCATCAGGTGCCTTGCCGACTGGCATGGGCGATCATGCCTCTCCATAATCTGTGATCCATCGTCAAGTGCCTTGCCAAATAGCATAGGTGGTCATGTATCTCCACAAATTGCGGTCTTTGGTGTTCTGGATCAATTCCACTGTTGATATTCCTTCATGCCACTGCCTTAAGCCATCCACCATCATTTCTCTTGGTCTTCCTCTGCCTCTTCTACCAGTGATTTTTCCAGTCATCAAGATATTTTCCATTGCTTTTTTTTTTCTCATCACATGACCAAAGAACTTTGTCTCCTTCTCAGTGTTTTATATAATGTTCTACTTTCATTAGTCATTTCCAGGCAATCATTGTTAGTTAATCTGGCAGCCCAAGGTATTCGCAATGTTCTTTTCAAGAACCACATCTCAGTTGCTCCAGACTTGTCAGCTCACATTCCAAGATTCACTACCATACAACAGAACAGGCTCAATGTAACATTTCCGTACTTGTTTTCTGATGTTTAATGGGAGTGATTTATTACATAAGATACTTTTCATCTTCTGAAATGCTGCCTTTTCCTGGCCAATTCTGCTGTTAATTTAAGCTCCTGTACTTTCCATTTTTTGGAGATTCTTGGGAAGAAACAAATTCATAGAAAAGCAACCATTTAACACACATTATCTGTATAAAAAAAAAAATGAACACAATCAAGTGATCATATAAATCATGAAAACATACTAAAGAGAGTAAGGGAAGTAATTAATAAAAATCAATGCCGCATAAAAGCAACTAGCTCAAACCTCTTGGGACCTGAAAACTAATTATAGTGTTAAGTTACTTGACCCTGTGACCTAATTGCCTGGTAACCACTGTAGCCAATAGGAAAAATATGATAAAATAAGAATCTTCTTCTTCGGAATTCCAGCCCTTGCGGATAATTGCTGCAGATAGCCTATCCACCACCTCCAGTCACCATTTAGTTTTATGATCGGCCATCTCTTTCCTATGTCCACCAAATTTGTGGCTTAGATCTTTGTTTTATAACAAAAATGGGGTTTTACAAAGGTGGAGGTGGGGGCCACATGCTTCAACCCCCAACCTGGAGGACCAGAGTGCCCATTCTTTATCCTTTGACCTGTGACTCTTAGAAGGCTACATTGCCACTGGCAAAGCTCTCAGGGTCGTTGAGAAGCACAAGCTCCCCCATGATGTCAGAGTGGAGACATCTTTAAAGAAGAAAAAAACAACAATGAACAAATTATCTTTTGTATTTTTTTTTTTTTTTGATAATTTTATCCAAGGCAGTCTATATTTTTTGACCATGTCATGAGAAGAAGAAAACTTGAGAGTACTTTATGATGGTGGGAAAGTTAGAAGGGATAAGAGGCAGAGGTTGGTGAGAGAGAAGACGCTGGACAATTTGACATCATTGCAGGGAAGATCATCTGTGTCAGATTTGATTAAAAGTACACAAGATAGACTGTTGAGGACAGACATGACTACCACTGCCTCACGGCATGGACTGTAATAATAATTATAATTCTTCTTTTCTTCTTCGCGTTCACCAGCTGTAAACTCTGGCTGAAAGTTCTGGTTGTTCATCCACTTTTGGACTGCAGTCCTGTTCCAGAACCTAAGTGTTGTGTGTGCATCCATTTTACAGATTTGACTCATTTGTATGCAGACTGCTGGATCCTTGCCTCTCGGACAGATGCACTCTGACTTTGGAGGAAGCTCCCAGTTAGTTGACTCTTATGACATGTTTTTGGGCAGGTAGTGGGTCTATTCTTGTTTTCCCTATAATAGGACCCTGGAACCCACATGGGGAGATAATTAGAATTGTATCCAGCTTTCTAGAAAAATCTTACGTTCATTTGCTTTTAACACAAAACTTTCCCGAACTGACATTGTAGAGGTATGGCTCAATCACTCTATCAATGCCACACCGCATGGACTGTAAAAATAATAAGAATTGTATCCACCTTTCTAGCATTATCTTATGTTCATTTGCTTTTAACACGAAACTTTCCCAAACTAACATTTAAAAAATATCTCTCAATCACTCTACAGATGGAGAGCGAACTTGAGCGGTTCCACAAGCAGAATGCTCAGCTCGAACTCAATATTACTGAACTGCGACAAAAACTGAAATCCACTGATAAAGAGATGCATCAGGAAAGGCAGAAGGTAAGACTTGTGATCTGGAAAAGATTAAATTCTGCACAGGCTATTATTTAACAGAGTAACGCCCGTGTGTCACCAGAGCCCTCACGGGAAGCGAAGAATAATACCAGGTATGTCGTTGTAGGCGACTAAGGGTAAGGTTGGGCTTGAGGTTGGCTACCTCTTCCTGTAAAAACAATAGCCACAAAAACCAACCAACCATGGGTAAGTCAAAAAGAGAAAGAAGAAAAACCCAGCCAACCAATATGAAGGAAGGCTCTTCGAGTAAAAGAATTATTACACAGTGCGAAGAAAGTCGAAAGGAGTCCAGATCGTTGACTTACCTCCTTTTACCAAAGAGTCAAGGAGAAGTACTCACCAACACTTAAGATCAAATGGGCAGATGGGCTGAATATTTTGGAATACTTCTAAAAAGGAGGCCCAAAAAAACACATGGAGAAGGGACCTAGAGAGTGAAGTTAAAAAGACAGGGAGGACGTGAGCAGAGCTGCACGCGATAGCAAAGGATATAATGACTTGGCGAGAGTTGGTTGAGGGCCTATGTACCATTGGGGGCTAGAAAGACAGAAGAAGAAGAGAGAAGAATGCAAAAGGAGATTCAGAAAGTATGGCTTGTAGTCTGAAAAATAATGAAATGTGCATACTCTTTGTAACTATAATCACGATAGGCCAGTATCAAGGTCAGTTGTTATAGCATCAATTCTGAATACTTATATGCAAAAAAGACACTAATTCTTCTAGTAGATAACTTAATAACAGTAGTAATTGTCACAACAAATATCCTGTTCAACCCTCAAGATTATAATTGAGATATAAAGTGTTTTCAGAGTATATGTTTGCTATTATCATATAATAATTTTTTCCTTTGTCTTCTTTGTATTCACCGGGTGTAAACTCCAACAGAAAGTTATGGTTGTTCGACCCCTACTGGACTCTAGTCCTGTTCCATTACCTGATTGTTGTGTGCACATCTGTTTTACAGATCTGGCTCATTTGTATGCAGACTGTTGGTTTCTTGCCTATCAGGCAGATGTGCTCTGACTTTGAAGAAAGCCCAGAGTCATTCAACTCTTACAAAATGCTTGTTGGGTAGGCAGTGGGTCTATTCTTGTTTTCCCTATAATAGGGCCCCAGAATCCACACGGGAAATAGCACGCCTGAAAGTATACCTTTCCGTCATTACAAATTACTGATGATAATTTTACCTAATGTTTGTTAATTTCAGGTGCGGGATGTGGCAGCTGTTGTTCGCAGATTTCAAAACTGACCTCCATAACGTTGTTGGCTACATCCAGGACCCTAAAATGTTGAAGGAGAGCATCAAGGCCTTGTATCAAAAGCATGTTCAGGAAGATATTGTAAGTTTACTTAAGGATCTAGTATTACATACTGTAACAGGGTAATCACTCAAGAGAAAAGTGAGATGAAAATGTAATCAGACTGTTACTGGTACTATCAGAATTGGAACTATTTGTTTGCTGCTAAAGATGGGGGAGGAGCATGTATGGGAGTGTCCTGAGTGCTATGATGTTGATTCTTAATTCAACATTCAACACTGTAACAGGTTGGAATCAGTATTAAGAATCTGTAACTTTTAGGGAGCATGTGGCCAAGGAGGTTATGGTATCAGTCTCTTATACTGGAAGCTGTGGGTTCTAACACCTACTAAGGCAAGGTTTTCTTGTATACTTGAGGTTCCCTGTGTGGGCTTCAAGACCACATTTTGTGGCAGGACAAAGAACAGGTTCAATGCTCCTTAACAAACAGGCTGTAAAAGGCGACTAATTAAGGATTTGCTGAAATCAAATGCATTGAGTTTAAAGTCAAGGATATCACAGCCTAGCCCAAAACCACAATGCAGCATGCCGGCCACCCTTTTAAGGGTGCACACAGAAGAAGAAGTCTTTTTCTTCTTCTTCATGTTCACCGGCTGTAAACTCTGGTGGAAACTTCACCGGCTGTAAACTCTGGTGGAAACTTCTTCATGTTCACCGGCTGTAAACTCTGGTGGAAACTTCTTCATGTTCACCGGCTGTAAACTCTGGTGGAAACTTCTTCATGTTCACCAGCTGTAAACTCTGGTGGAAACTTCTTCATGTTCACCGGCTGTAAACTCTGGTGGAAACTTCTTCATGTTCACCGGCTGTAAAACTCTGGTGGAAACTTCTTCATGTTCACCAGCTGTAAAACTCTGGTGGAAACTTCTTCATGTTCACCGGCTGTAAACTCTGGTGGAAACTTCTTCATGTTCACCAGCTGTAAACTCTGGTGGAAACTTCTTCATGTTCACCGGCTGTAAACTCTGGTGGAAACTTATTCATGTTCACCGGCTGTAAACTCTGGTGGAAACTTCTTCATGTTCCCCAGCTGTAAACTCTGGTGGAAACTTCTTCATGTTCACCGGCTGTAAACTCTGGTGGAAACTTCTTCATGTTCCCCAGCTGTAAACTCTGGTGGAAACTTCTTCATGTTCACCGGCTGTAAACTCTGGTGGAAACTTCTTCATGTTCACCGGCTGTAAACTCTGGTGGAAACTTATTCATGTTCACCGGCTGTAAACTCTGGTGGAAACTTCTTCATGTTCACCAGCTGTAAACTCTGGTGGAAACTTCTTCATGTTCACCAGCTGTAAACTCTGGTGGAAACTTCTTCATGTTCACCAGCTGTAAACTCTGGTGGAAACTTCTTCATGTTCACCAGCTATAAACTCTGGTGGAAACTT